GGGTTGATGGTTATCCCAAAGCTAACAGACCACTCACGTATCCGAGAGAGGTTTTCATTCAATAAACACACTGCCCTCCCCAGGTTGGGCAGGGTGTCCTGCGCATACAATTGAAGGTCGTCAGCATACAGATGATAAGAGGTGGAAATAATGGAAGCAAGGGAGTTTATAAATAAAGAAAAGAAAAGAGGTGAGATTACGCCTCCCTGAGGTACCCCTGCAGTTAAGTTAGACCAGTTGGAGATTAATTGATCGATTTTTACGGCTTGTTCACGCCCCCGAAGGTAGGAACTGAACCACTTTAGTGCATTGGAGGAACATCCAAGTTGGGCAAGAAGAGCAAGAAGGATATCATGATCTACTGCATTAAAAGCGTTAGAAAAATCAAGTAGTACTAACACAGTCAACCGTGACTCCTCCATGCCATCGCGTATATCCTCAACGATTTTAATAAGCGCCGTAGTGGTACTGTGTCCGGGGCGGAACCCCGACTGGAAAGGAGTTAGAAGGCGGTTGCGATAGACAAATGAAGAAAGCTGTTGATGGACAGCAGCTTCGAGAATCTTAGAGAGGTACGGTAAAATAGAGATACATCTAAAGTGATCAAGAGTGCAGGGGTTTGAAATTTTCGAAAGAGGGATAGAGTAAGCCTTACGCCATACATTAGGAAATGAACCGGAAGATAGGGATTTGTTCATAATAAAAGTAATGATAGGAAGTACGGAATCTGATAACAAAATAAACATGTTTCTACTGATGTTATCAAATCCTATGGCCTTAGACTTATTAGAAAGTGCTAACTTTCGGATATCGTCTTCAGTCAGTGTGCTAAAGGAGAAAATATCTTTTGAATGAGTAGCCGTGGAAGAAAGTTTGGAAATAGTGAGAAATTTAACAGTGTCAGGAAGTTTGTTAACACGAGAAAAATGAAGGTTGAAATCGTTTACAGAGAAAGAAGTTGAGAATTCAGTTCGTGTTTTGCCAATACCAATAGAATTGAGAAACTTCCACATTTCGGCTGGAGTAGAATCAGTTACATTCTGATGAATATAACGCCGTTTAGCACCTCTTATCATCTGGTTGCACCGGTTCCTTGCATTCTTAAAAGCCTCCCAGTTGACATCAGTGCGGCATCTTTTAAAAACCCGAAAGGCCTTATCCCGTTTTCTCATTGCAATGCGCACCAAAGGAGTGATCCAAGGAGCAGGTGGACGTTTCAGCTTTACAGCTTTTATGGGAGCATGATGATCATACAATTTTATGATTGCAGCATTAAAGGTTGAAATCATATCGTCTACTGAGGACGCATCATATACAGGCGCCCAATCAATGGCACTTGCTTCAATTAAAAGCTTCTCTACATAAAGCCTCGCGAAATTTATCATGCGCACAACAGTCGGCTTGGCTTTAGGGGGTTTTACTTTGAACTCCAAGAAAATCAGGTCATGTTTCGAAAACCCTGGCGCTGACCGCTGACCATGTTTCGAGACAAAGTCTGGAGAGGACGTTATAATGTGGTCGATCCATGAGTCGTCAGTAATGATATTATGATGAGTCGGACCAAGAGGTAAAATAGAGAAGTGCACAGACTCAAATATGGATCGGAAACTTCGCGTGGAATGAGTATCTTTTAAAAGATCTGTGTTAAAGTCACCCATGATTATGTGATGCCTGTAGTCTGATGAAATATTATCAATAAGAGTCTCAAGATCTGTTAAGAAAGGAACTGAAGGGGGGCAGTAAAAAACACCTAGAAGAACTTTACAATATTTGACGTCAATTTCAAGAATTAAGTATTCCATGCAATCGTAACGAGATGAGGAGGAATTTAAAATCTTATAAGGTATATGTTGAGATAGATAAATGGCGACTCCCCCGCCACCTTTACCTATTCTATCGTTACGAATAAGCGTGAAACCGGGAAGGTCAACAGATATTGAACTCAAACAAGGCTTTAGCCATGTTTCGGAAATCAGAACCGCATGGACTACAGAGTTAGAAGTGAAAGTGTTCAAAAGTTCGGTGTAATGACAAGGAACACTCTGAGCGTTTATGTGGCAAACATTCAAGGTTCCAGTGATATTAAATTTTTTTGTCACGAAAGTGCCCAAATCATGTGCGTCGTCACTCGAACAGTCGCTAAGGGAACAAAAAGATGAGGTGCGATCCTCCGCTGAACAGTATTCGCTGATATCAGACATACTAAATAAAGTTCACAAAACAATATAATATAGATAAAAATATACCTGGTAAATATATATAAATATAATTATAATGAAGCAATAAATTGTTTGAATAAATTGCTGTTTTCAAGACCTGCATTTCCTGCCAATTAAAGGTTTACAGTAGGTGGTGTGACACGACATAAAAGAAATACAATAAGAAATAGATGAACCCTAATACATACACTCAAAAACAATATCTTTCTTAAAAATAAAACACACAAAAACACGGCCTTAGTTGTCGAAAAATCAGGTAAAAATAACATTATGTGCCGCTTCACTACCTCACCAACATTGGAATACAAATGGCAGTATAGAGAAATGTCTTTGCCTACCCTTTATAGCAAACAGTTAAAACGAAATGAAGACACTGGTGTCGACTCTGGAATGACTCCAAACTCAAACCCAAACTCGACAACAGTATGTCCCTATCATTCTCTACAGAGAATGAAAAAGGAGTGACCGATATCAAATTCAGCCCTAAGGCCAGAGAATCACGCCAGAATCGACACCATTGACATGTGCCTTAAAAGTTCAGTATCGAAAGCCATTAAAATTAAAAAAAAAACACATTGACATGTTATGTCAATATGTCATTGTTTAAAGTGTCAAAGGTTATAAAAACATCACAGAAATTCACAAATCACTGATTAGAAAAAAGGTAATTACCTTACATTTAGTGTTAGTAACAAACAAAAAAATATTAATCAAACAGCGATAGTGAAGCTACCCACTTATAACAAATAATACAACTAAAATGTGCAAAGGTAACAACAAAAGTAATCGAAGAAAAAACAATCTCAGAGAAAAACTATGAACTGAACAGAAGATGTAAACCACTTAATAAAACTTACTTTTTGACAACTTTTACATTACGCTTAGACCGAGTATGCGTCTGCACCGGCTGGGATACTGCTGATGCAGGGTCAACGGTGGGCTCACTGGTTGCAGCAACGACCGCAATCTCTGTACCGGGAAATTGGTGTATTGCCGCAGACAGTTCATCGTTGCAGGAGATCCGTAAACGGTTGCCATTAGGTGCCTTAATGTAAACAATGCCATCCATAGTCCACACACTGGAAACTCCAAAATGATTACGAGCAGAGTGGAACAAGGCTTGTCGAGTCTTAGTGAGAAACTCTCTCATGACAAGTGAAGAGCCTTTGAGCTTAGACTTGCTCTTCCACACAGATGACCGAAGGTTGTAGTTGCAAAAACGGATAACCACTGGTCTATTACGACCCTCTGTTACTGACCCGAGTCGATGACATATTTTTAAAGAACTTGAATCCAGGTCTGTGGCACCCAAATGTTTCTGAAGCAAAGTTATCACAGTAGAATTTAAGTCCTCATCGTCATTTTCTGGAACACCACAAAGAAGAAGATGCTTGCTTCGATGCTTAGCTTCATGCTGGTCGAGAGACTTTAATATCTCACTGATCTGTTGCCTTAGAAGTGACAGGATACTCCAAACAAGCTCCTTGAAAGCCTTAAACTCATCCTGTATCTGAGGGACCTTCTCCTTATCTGAAGATGATTTTAACTGAGATTCAAACTGCTGCATTCTTTGCATCAAAGTGGCCTCCAGTGATTTCTGGGTTTCGAGTACCGCTGCAACACTGCTCATGTTGAAGTGTAGTTAAATAAAAATTTGTGCAAACAACTGTGAGTGATGTGATGGCAGGTTAATGCTGGTAGTTCCTTAGTTTGACATCACACAAATCAGCCTACAATGTATAAGGTAACCAAGGGTAATTACTAACTAATTAATGCAAAATTTAAGAAAAATACTTTGTTATATTATTTTTAAAATAAATTTAAATGTAGAAGCAATGTAGTTTTATTTTACGCCTACCGCCAAAAAAACACCAAATTACTTAAGAAAAAAGAAATGTATTATTAGCATGTAAGGTGTATGTTCTTGTTGGTTGTCCAAATAAATAAAATAAAAATAAAATAAATAAAATATAACAAACATTTTATATTAAATCAGTTTATAGTAAGTATTAAATCAAAATTTACTTCAAATGCGTTAAATTAACAAATATTGACTAGATACCTGTCGAAAAAACGACACTTTTCGTACTCTAAGTATTATTTTTGCATTTTTCGCGGAGCTCTGTGGCATGTTGACTTTGTAACGGTCCGCGCGACTGTGAACCAAGAAGTGCTTGAGTGGAGTTCAAGCACTTCTTTTTGAGCGCTCGTGGTGTATCTAGGGTATTTAATATCGTTGGCCGAACACGCAGGAGTAATTGAACTCCTCCGAAACGGCTCGACCGATTTTAGTGAAATTTTATAAGCCTATGCCTTATGCACCGCCTAATGTTAGGTTATTTAAGAAAACAAGTTTCATGATTTTTTTTTAAGCATTTAACTGCTAGATGTTTAAATCTAAAGAAAAGTTTACTAGAAAAAAAATCCACGCGGACCAGGCAGCGGACGGGACTCAAACCCGCACACTTCGCTATCCGGGCGAATGCACTGACCAATATGCTACCACGGCCCTATTAGCCGCGTCGAAATTTTCCTAGCCTTAAGCTGCTTCGACGCGGCTAATAGGGCCGTGGTAGCATAATGGTCAGTGCATTCGCCCGGATAGCGAAGGATGCGGGTTCGAGTCCCGTCCGCTGCCTGGTCCGCGTGGGTTTTTTTCTAGTAAACTTTTCTTTAAACAAGTTTCACTTCAGATGTGCGTTCCGTGCACACATTTTTTTCATTTTAATTATTGCCTAATAATTATGGAACAATCGGATTTCATGTATAGTGTTAACTCACCCGGTGACAGCTAAAGACCCGTCTCCTTGGAAAGCTATGCTATAAACTGGTTTCGCGTGCCCCTCTTGATGTAACACTTCCGTTGCTACAACATAAAACGAAAAATAAGTGGGAAATCAACAAAATATGTTTTAAAGAAAATAAAACTAGAAAAAATTCCACGCGGACCAGGCAGCAGAAGGGACTCGAACCCACACCCTTCGCAAACCGGGCGAATGCACTTGGTCCCGGCTGCATCTGCAGTCGTTAGCACCCGCCAATCCGCGATGCGCCCGCGTGGTGGGTCATGGCCCAATCTCCCTATTCCCTATCCCCAGCAGTGGGGACATTGATAGGCTGATGATGATGAGTCAACATCCCACGATTTAAATTAGACGGGTACCATTATTGCCAATCTTATTCCATCATCATTTCGCAAAAAAAATAAATTGAATTGATGAAATTTATCTCGAATTGAATATTGAATTTGACGACCTCCGTGGCCGAGTGGTTTGTACGCCGGGTTTCATGGTATCGCCGACTCGTGAGGTCCCGGGTTCGAATCCCGGTGAGGGCAAATGTTTGTGTGATGAACACGAACATTTGTACTCCAGTAATGGATGTTTAATATATCTTTATATATATAATTCTTCTGTGAGTGTGTATGTCACTGAACTTCTCTTAAACGACTGGACCGATTTTGATGAAATTTTTTGTGTGTGTTCAAGGGGATCTGAGAATGGTTTAGATTTACAATTTTGTCCGCTGGACAACCCCTATTTTTTTAGGGCGGTACGAAGTTCGCTGGGTCAGCTAGTATTTCTATATAAATACTAGCTGACCCAGCGAACTTCGTACCGCCATAAAAAAATTTAATTAAAAAAACATTGTCCAGCGGACAAAATTGTGAATCTAAACCATTCTCAGATCCCCTTGAACACACACAAAAAATTTCATCAAAATCGGTCCAGTCGTTTAAGAGAAGTTCAGTGACATACACACTCACAGAAGAATTATATATATAAAGATACTTATATATGTACAGTATATGTATTCTATCCGTTACCCTAGCATCCCATAAAACAAGCCTTACAGTGCTTACTTTGGTACTAGGCAAATTGGTGTGAGTGTTGGAAATATATATTTATTTATTTTAATTGTCTTACCCGTCTCCAGGTCCCACAGCCTCCAGGAATGGTCGAAGACCGAAGCCGCCAGGAATCGACCTGAAGGGTGGAACTCTACTCGAGCCACCCTCGAGGGACCGTGGCCTTCTAACGAGGCTATAGGGGCTTCGCTAGGAGGAGGAAACGACATGGTAAAGTTTTGTATGAGCGACTGCCCTGGCAATGTATAAATATTGTACTTAGTAATATATAATACACAATGCCTAAATATTTATAATTTCTATGAAATAAGGCTCAGGAACTTTTGATAAAGTCACTTCGTCGTTCTCGTGTCACAATATTAGTTACCATATTCCTCCGAAACGGTTTGACCGATTTTTATGAAACTTTATATGCATATTCAGTAGGTCTGAGAATCGGCTACTATCATTTTTCATATCCCTAAGTGATAAGGGTTGTCCACCCCTAACATTTTTATAGATTTTGGTTTATTTTTTTATAATGTGGCATTAAAAATACATACAGCTATCAAGGACATGGTAAAGTTTTGTATGAGCGACTGCCCTGGCAATGTATAAATATTGTACTTAGTAATATATAATACACAATGCCTAAATATTTATAATTTCTATGAAATAAGGCTCAGGAACTTTTGATAAAGTCACAATCTTGAAAATTATGTGATCTCATACGACGTCATTACCTTGCTACATTTGATAAAAGAGAATCAATTTCGCATTTTATTTGATATTTTCTCCCATTTATCTGTTTAACACTTCACAAAAAGTATTTTTAAAAGTAATTATAAATACAAATAATTTGTTGTCGTCTGCCTGACATGAAATCTGTGAAGTTTTATTTTGATTATTTGCAAAAATCAAAGCATTAATTATCATACAGCCTTCTCTCAAGCCTGATCAGAAAAATAAAATCTATTATTTTGGGCCTTCAGTGATTTGTTATAATTAAAAATTAATGGCCAAATATGTCATAGTTTTAGGAGTTTTGAATTAATATTATTTATTTCGATATACTAGCAGAAATATTTTTAGTATACATTTATTGTTCATTTATTTTTGTAAAACGGAACATTTTCCTTCTGAAACAGACGTGAAGTAAATTTTTACACTTTTAAATATTTGATTATTTCACGAAAGTTGTATGAGAATTATAAACACATAATAATTAATAAAAAAATATTATAAAGTTACGGGCTAGTGCAAAATAATTATACACGTTAAGGGCAGTTTCTTAGCCATGTTCTTTCCGATATTATGAGTGAAAGAATCAAAATTTCGTATGCTCTCCCAAGGGCGACATATGGACCTATATATTATTTACCTACTGTTACAAACTATGTTTCATGCAAATACCACGCGCGCTGGCCTACGTTGCCACCGACTTACTGTGGCCACTATTCTTACGCGAATATAGAAATTTGGTGACTCATTTCTTTGTCGTACTATTGGTAAGTGGAATTCTTTGCCCGCGCACGTGTTCCCTCCTTCCTATAATCTGGGGTCCTTTAAGAGAGGCGTGAAGAAGCAATTTTGCAGGCCGGCAAGGTGAGGATGGTTGGTGTGGCAGTTTATAATTGCTGTACCAGCTACTTTCGGGTTTGGACTTTATCCCCACTTATCATCAGGTTGGGTAAAGTCATTTGCCTACCTCAATTCATTTCAAAACTTGACCACCATATCAAGATACAAACAATATTATATATATTTGACAAGTTTTAGATCTCACATTATTTACTAATGTTAATGGAGTCCATAAAACGAAAAATTAAAAATTCAATTTTCAGTTGCCGCGAAAACGTTTCTCTTAACATTATGGCTTCGCACTAGTGTGTTACGTCACACGACTGTCATTAAAACGTCAAACGATACAATGTAATGTCACTTTGGCCGGAAGTTTACTAGTGTGTGACGTCATTTTAGTCTTGGCCAATCCCAGGCGTTTTCGGTCACGTGACCATGGAGCAAAAAAAATCATTTCTGTTTCATGATTTTGCAGTAATATTATCAATAGGGTATTTGACAAGTTTTAGATAACGATCTCACGTTATTGACTAATGTTTATGGAGTCCGTAAAAAGTGTATATTCATCATTCTGTTGTGTATTTCAGTAAAAATAACTAAATCAAAAACTCTATTTTCAAGTTGCCGCGAAAACGTGTCTCTAGCAAATATGGCGTCTTACAAGCAGGTGACGTCGCTCGACCGTAATTAAAACGTCAAACAGTACAAAGTGATGTCACTTCGATGGCATGTTTACAAGCAAGTGACGTCATTTAGGCTCCGCCAATCCTAGGCGTTTTCGGTCATTCGTATTTTCGTTTTATAAGATACTTAACTATTGACTACCTCCGTGGCCGAGTGGTCCCGGGTATGAATCCCGGTGGGGGCAGATGTTTGTGTGATGAATACGAGCATTTTTACTCCAGTCATATTTATTCATATTATTATTTCTATATACTTATATATGTATGAGTATATGCATTCTATCCGTTACCCTAGTATCCCATAACACAAGCCTACAGTGCTTACTTTGGGGCTAGGCTAATTGGTGTGAGTGTTGGAAATATTTATTTATTATACCTATTAAAGTTCCATAGATAGACGGACCCGTCGTAAGCACACGAGGCCATAGTGCAGGCAGACCCGTCGTTAGTGTCCATCGGCTCGCTGCTCTGTGTTTCTTCGTCTTTGGAACTGTTTATCTAAAGCAATGTTTAATTTTTCATTTTTGATTTCGATAAGTGGAATAATAAATGAGTGAAAGAAATAGACATTTGGAAGAATTGATACGCAGAAGTAATAGACAATTGGAAGAATTGACAAGTTGAAGAAATAAGACTATTGGAATAATAGACAAGTGCAAGAAAAAACCTAATCTTGAGGTTACCATTGTTGTATTTTTAGGTGATCATTTCATTTGTTCAAATTAAAAAAAAATCCTTTTGCTATTGAGCGTCGCTACTCAACTTTCATACGCGCTGCAATAGATATTTCACGAGAAAACACTGTTTAATAAATACACTCAAGAATTACTCCTGAAAGTATTTACGCTAAAGGTAATAAGTCCTTAAAATAATGTTTCAAAGTATTTTTGGTACACGAAATTCTATTAAGTCCGAAATTTAGTTACATTATCAAACACACTGGATACACTTATATTTTCTTTTGTCAATCAGCCAAAAAACAATAAATTACAAAGATCATCATCATCATCATCAGCCTATTAATGTCACCACTGCTGGGGCACAGGCCTTCCCTATGGATGGAATAGGGAGATTGGGCCATGACCCACCACGCGGGTCCAGTGCGGATTGGTGGGTGCTGACGACTGCAGATGCAGCCGGGACCAACGGCTTAACGTGCCTTCCGAAGCACGGAGGCACTCGAGTTAGAAAATTTTCGGTCACCCATCCAATGACCGACCACTGCGAAAGTTGCTTAACTTCAACGATCGCAGCCGAACGCGCTAGCCACCTGCGCCATCGAGCTCCTCCATTATTAATAATTATTAATTACAAAAATAAAACACTACAAAGTTTAGGAGTGGGGGCTCATGACGTCATTTTCAAGCAAAAAATATACCTGGACGTGACGCCATGCAAAATGTCAAGTCAATATATCTGTGCAATATTTTGATTATGAGAATAAAGAGAAAAGACGTGTCCAATTTTAGTCATTATTTTTTTTGACGACCTCCGTGGTCGAGTGGTTTGTACGCCGGGTTTCATGGTGTCGCCGACTCGAGAGGTCCCGGGTTCAAATCCCGGTGGGGGCAGATGTTTGTGTGATAAATACGAGCATTTGTACTCCAGTCATGGATGTTTAATATGTATATCTATAAAAATATACTTATATATGTACAGTATATGTATTCTATCCGTTACCCTAGTATCCCATAACACAAGCCTTATAGTGCTTACTTTGGGGCTAGGCTAATTGGTGTGAGTGTTGGAAATATTTATTATTTTATTATTATTATTATTATCCCTATTACCTGATCTAGAAATAAGTTGGATTAACCTAAGTAGGAAATAGTTAGGTAAACTTATTTAGTTATGAGTTAGATTAACTTATCAAGAAAGGGCTTGGGTAAACTTATCTAGGAAGTAATTGGGTAAATTTATTTAGGAAGTAGTTGGGTAAACTCATTTAGAAAATAGTTGGGTAAACTTATCTAGCAAGCGTTTAGGTAAACTAATCTAGGAAGAACTTGGGTAAATTTATTTTTGAAGTAGTTGAGTAAATTCATTTAGAAAATAGTTGAGTAAACTTATCTAGAAAGTGGTTGGGTATGCATATTTAGGAAGTAATTGGGTAAAATCATTAAGAAAATACCTGGGTAAACTTATTTATAAATCGTTTGGGTAAACTTATCTAGGAAGTTCTTGGGTAAATTTATTTAAAAAGTAGTTGAGTAAACTTATCTAGGAAGTGGTTGGGTAAACGTATCTAGGCAGTACTTGTTATCTTACCTTATCTAGAAAATGGTGGGGTATTTGAGCCTTAGGATGGAATGTAGCTGCGCTCACATTGCAAGAATGTCCTTTCAACACTTGCAGGGGAGTGCATTCTGGTACTGACCACACTTTACTGAGGCCCGACCTGTTGAATATCAATAATTATAAAATATATAATCAAGCATGAACAGATAAATTAAATGTTACTAGAAATAATTGCACGCGGTCTAGCAATCTAGCAGAAGGGACTCGAGCCCACACCCTCCTCTATCCGGGCGGTTGCATTGACCAATAGGGATGATGACTTTTTTCTTTGTTTATCAGGTAGATTATCAAAAAGTATTGGACACGTATTTTTTTCTTTTTTCACATAATATAAACATTGCAGAGATATATTGATTTGAAAAGTCGCATGACGTCACTTTTTGGTACAATTTTCACTTAAAAGTGACGTCACGAGCCTCTACTCCCGAACTTTGACGCGCTATAACTTTGTAATTTTTTGGTTGATTGCCCGAAGAAAATATACGTGTCCATTATTTTTTGATCATCTAACTGACGAACTAAATAGAATTTCTTTTACTGTACCCCGTCATCACCCCTAATGTGTTACCGCGACCTTAATTTCTTCTAATTCAGTTTTCGACCGAATAGCGGTTCTAGTCCCTTCTACCGGATACCGGATAGTCTGCTGCTCGGTAAAAAGAAAAATTTTACATAAAAAACGCAGTTTTTTTTTCTTGTAATTTTTTCTTTAGATTTATACACCTAGCAGTTAAAATGCTTAGAAAATAAGTTAAAACTTGTGTATTATGACTTTTTTTTGTATTTTTAGCACTCTTTCATATTTTTATTTGAGAATAAAGCCCAAAATACACATAATACGGGTGCGGGTGGAGACGGGAGTAGGAATGAAAGGTTTTGGTGATTTATTTTCTACTGAAAATTTTCTTTATATAAATTGAGGAGCTGGCGAACAAAGCGGTATCTTATATATAAAATTCTCGTGTCACAATATTAGTTACCATATTCCTCCGAAACGGATTGACCGATTTTTATGAAACTTTATATGCATATTCAGTAGGTCTGAGAATCGGCTACTATCTATTTTTCATATCCCTAAGTGATAAGGGTTGTCCACCCCTAACATTTTTTTAGATTTTGGTTTATTTTTTTATAATGTGGCATTAAAAATACATACAGCTATAAAGGACATGGTAAAGTTTTGTATGAACGACTGCCCTGGCAATGTATAAATACTGTACTTAGTAATATAGAAAAAAGGCTCAGGAACTTTTGATAATGTCACAGTCTTGAAAATTATGAGAACTCCCACTATGTCATTACCTTACTACAGTATATAAAATATGTCGCCACTTTTTTACAGTCATCAATTTCGCATTTCTTAGAATCTTTCTTCCCATTTCTCTGATTAAGTCTTCACAAAAAGTTATTTCAAAGCAAAAATAAATACAAATAATTTGTTATCGTCGGCCTGACAGGAAATCTGTGAAGTTTTATTTTGTCCCTTTGCAAAAATGAAAGGATAAATTATCATACAGCCTTGTTTCAAGTCTGATCAGAATAATAAAATCTATTATTCGAGGCCTTCATTGATTTGTTTTAATATAAATTAGGGCCAAGTATGTCATAGTTTGAAGGAGTTTAGAAATAATATTGTTTATTTCGATATACTTACACAAATATTTTTTGTGTACATTTATTACTCATTTATTTTGTAAAATGGAACATTTTGCTTTTGAAACAGACATGAAGTAAATTTTTATACTTTTAAATATTTGATTATTTCACGAAAGTTGTATGAGAATAATAAACACTTAATAATTAATAAAAAAAATATTGTAAAGTTACGGGCTTGTGCGAAATATTTATACACGTTAAGGGCAGTTTCTTAGCCATTTCCTTTACACCCTTTTACCACCCATATTTTAATGGTGATACGAAGTTCGCTGGGTCAGCCAGCAATTAAAAACCTATAAAATGTAATTTTACAGGAGTTGTATAAAACTAAATGACATACCTACAGTGAGCTTTTGGCATGGTTTTAATTACTAAAATTTAACACTGTTTTAGGTGGTTTTGATTGAAAATTACTTGAGATTCAAATTCAACAGCCCTTGCTGAGTTTCTTGCCGGTTCTTCACAGTACAAGGTCTCCCGCCGTAGATTTAGTAGCTTCTTGACCTTCACAAGTGCATGTAACAGCCTAGACTGAATAAATGACCTTTCATTTCATTTCATTTCAAAATAAAAGTAGTTTGACCAGATTGTTCGCCGTTTTTTTTTTTTATTTTATAGCTGGCATACGAGCAGACGGCTCACCTGGTGGTAAGTGATCACCGTCGCCCATGGACACTTGCAACACCAGGAGTATCACAAATGCGATGCCGGCCTTTAAGGAAGGAGTACGCTCTTTTTGTTCGCCAGCTCCTCAATTATTATCCGACTGTAATTAATACATACCAACTTGAGGTGATTAACATTTTACTGTCGCTACTGAATCTGCAAAAACTTATGGGCCGCGTGTCCCCGATCTGTACAGACAAACGAACAAACACAATTAACTTTTATACGTAAAAACACACATAATATACGTAAATACACTCATGTCGAGAAGTAAGAAGGTAAGGACAACTGGATATGTTAAGGTGATGAAGATCACGCGAAGAGGTGTAAGGTTACCCAAAGAGGGAAGGTTTTCCGAAAAGTAAAGGTTACCCAGAGGTAAATTTACCCAAAAGGGTATGGTTACCCAAAGTGATAAGTTCACCCAGATGTAAGTTTACCCAATAGGGTAAGGTTTCCCAAAGAGGTAAGGTTACCCAGAGGTAAGTTTACCCAAAGAGGTAAGGTTACTCGAAGAGTTAAATTCACCCAGAGGTAGATTTACCCAATAGGGTAAAGTTACACAAAGAGGTAAATTCACCCACTAGGGTAAGGTTACCCGAAGAGGTATTCCTGATACTACTATGTATTCCGCACTATGTATGTATTATGCACGTGTCACACTCATTCAATACAAAATTAAGAGAAATAGATATATTTTAAGGATCAAAACAGAAATTTTAAATGTCTTTCTATATTTATTTTGGCAACAAACAATCATTTACATAATATTGAGGTACATGCATATACATATGTAAATATTAATAGACCAAACAGTGCCCAAAGCTTATTACAGTTATAGTAGCAAAGAGTCTTAACATAGTCAGATTTGCATCATATAATGCTAAACAATTAATTGACATAAAATATTAAACAACTTATAACAAAAACTGAAATTTTTATAAACACCTTTTTTTTATTTTTTCGTCAACATACCATTTAGCTTTCTCTTTATAGGGATGTCGAAAGCTGAAAAAAATATCGATATATCGATCTTTTAAAAATTATCAATATCGGCTTCGATATATCGCGAAAAAACATCGATATATCGATATATCGGACCAATTTTCCCAAAAATATTGTACAGTAGCTCACGAAATATGACACGCGCAATAATAATAGAACGAAAATTATCTCCCTAAAAATAGACCCTATTTTCGAATGATGACATAGACAATACTAAATACTGTGCTGTGTTTAGTATTGTCTATGTCATCATTCATAGATATGTTGAATATCATTAATCTGAGATCCAGTTACGAATTTCGATATTGGTTATTTTGTATCGATGTATCGATATATCGAATCAAAATATATCGGCAAAAAATATCGATATATCGAACAAAAAATAATAATATATCGATACATCGATATATTTTCAACAAGCCTATCTCTTTAGACTAATTAATATTTATTAGCGCAAGCGAAGGACGTAGCGGCAACGTTAAGCGTGCGGTAAAATTTTACCGCACGCTTCGGTATATGGCCCGTAATTTTAAACTTTCGATCAATGTATACAATCTTCGTAAACGCATATATTTTACTAAATGTGTTGAAAATAATATTTACCTGACTGCAATATATTGACATAGCGGCCGCACGTCTTTGAGATTCTTGCTTTGCAGCGGCTCGGACGCTGCCTGCCTGCTTCAAGTCCTCGCGAGCCTTGTTCAATCTGAAACAAAGAAATCTATATATATATAAAACTCAAAGGTGACTGACCGACTGACATAGTGATCTATCAACGCACAGCCCAAACCACTGGACGGATCGGGCTGAAATTTGGCATGCAGGTAGATGTTATGACGTAGGCATCCGCTAAGAAAGGATTTTGATCAATTCTACCCCCAAGGCGATAAAATAGGGAATGAAAGTTTGTATGAAACTTTGTCAATTTCAAACCGATCGGGCTGAGACTTTGCATGCAGGTATAAGAAGAATCATAGATGAATGTCACTGTGTATAATACAAGCCTGAGAACAAAAACTGTAGTCTACACTTCAGCTCTACACCGAAGCGAAGCGAGGGCGAGCCGCTAGTACCTAAATAAATAAACGAGGATCGATCTGTGTTGTCGCAGGGATGGCCCACACGTAACTAATGGAGGATGCAATCACTCGCCTCGTCAACAGATGGCGGTACTAGCGGCGCACTCAATACAATGGGGAGCCTACATCGCACTAGTGAAATTCGGAGGCATACACATCATATATACAGAGCTGGTCAAGGTTATATCATCCAGCTTGGTGAAAAATCTCCCTTATAATAGGCTAAATATTTAACAGCATCAAAATACATTTAAAGAAAAAAAATGGGTGCGTGTACTTATGTAGGCGCGTGAGAAGTTATCCTTCTTTGGCATCGTTTAAAATTAGTTTTTAATTGCATGCAAATAATTAATTACAATAAATTAATAAAAAGTCTGGAAAAGGACACAGTCAATAAAGTTCAGTTTTAATTTGAAAAAATAAATAAATAATCAAAATATTCAATTAATATCGCTACTGAATATAATTTATTAGAACATATGTGATTTGCACTTGTATGAAACTCAAACCCGTATTCCGAATATACAAACTAGAAACATGTGGATAAATATTATAAATATGAATACCTATAACTGTTACTTTATTACAAAAAATAAAGATGTGGTTTTTGGTTCTACTACACCAATGGTCAAGAGATGGCGCTGTAGTCTCCTGAATCGTGCTTTGGTTCCGTTGTTCCAGATTAATAAATACTTTTGATAGGCCTTCACAATGCAGTCGTTAGCACCCACTAAATAGAGATTCTATTTCTATTTTGTTGGTAGATTTTCTTAATGTGCGGTAAACTCAAAAGTAACGCATGAAGTTGGTCGCTAAAGCGACCAACTTCATGCTGTTAAAAATTTGTGTTACAGTGATGCGCGCGCATCTTAAAATTTCACTCTCATCATTTTTTCATAACGCGCCTAAAGAAGTATAACTTCAAAAAATCCTTACGGCTATACTAGAGGAAATTCGATGAGTCCGTTAAGGTCTCAATACAACATCTTCTACTTATAATGCGATTCAACTAAGAATAGGAACGACTGGGCGCCATATTTTGACGTCATAGCTGTCAATTCAAACCAAATAGGTAGGGTGAGCAAAAAAAGTTTCTATTTATTAAAACTTATTTACTAAGATTAAGTGAGAAAAAACATCAGATTTTTTAATAAAATTAATATACTAAGATTGAGAGAAAAAACAAACAATTTTTAATAATATTTCTTTATTAAGACTGTGTGAGTAAAAACATTAATCAGAATCTAGCTCTTCAATTCCGCTCATCTCTGCATTACCGCCGGAGTAGTTATGAATAATCATGCACTATTACTAGGTCATATGCATCCTATATGTAAACGAAAGTTTTAAATCGAGTTTCTGAACGCAACATAAAATAAATTAAAGTGACAGTGACGATTTAGGTTATCAACCATTCATAGCCAAAGCTCAATAAATGAAAAAAAATATCAACCAATATTAATTATCAATATTTGTTTTTGTTTGTTTCAAAATATTTGATTTTTATTTTAGAATTAGCCGAGTGCTAAAAAAGTGTTCCGAGATTTTTTTGCAAACAGTACTTTTCAAGCAACATTTGACAGATGGAGGTCATTGGCTTTCCTAATCTTATTTGAATCGCGTTATATATATCTTTATATTAAGATTAGATTTGTTCTATGGTATATCCTTCGAAATTTAGCCAATGTCACTGGACACATATATGTATATACAGGGTGTTACAGAATTCCGAAATAAAATTTGTAGGTATGTATTCCGAAATAAAAATTTGTAGGTATCTGAGCGGGGCGCAGGGGTGCCTGGGGGAGAGATGGGGGTCAGTTTAGGTAGTAGTAATCGTGCGCATTTATAGGGTTATCATAGGCAGGTGTAAAACGATATTTTTATTAATTTAATTGGAAAATAAAAGTGGTCTGAAAGGCGTCAAACTTTCGTAAGTAATTCTATACAAGGAACACAACCAAACCCTAAAGTTTTATTTCGGACTTTTGTCACACCCTGTATACCCAAAAAAACCTATATTCAGTAAAAATCGTGCTTGTATCTACTCACCTCTCCTTGGCCCGTGGCAACGAGTACTTCGCTATCCACAGCCTGGCATCCCTCAACTGGGGCGGGCCCTCGTGGTACCAGGTGCCCTCCCTGCCTCGGTCCCTCTCCATGCGAGCCTCTTCTTCTTCCATCTTCTTGTGGATCGCATCTTCACCGAGGCTGTGGGGGAAGAGGAACATCACACATCAACATTAAAAATTAATTAAAAAAACATTGTCCAGCGGACAAAATTGTGAATCTAAACCATTCTCAGATCCCCTTGAACACACACAAAAAATTTCATCAAAATCGGTCCAGTCGTTTAAGAGAAGTTCAGTGACATACACACTCACAGAAGAATTATATATATAAAGATATTACATGATTTGACGCTGTGAAGTGTTAAAAAAGCTAAAAAAAAAGTCCTTACCGGGTGCTAAGGACTAAACTATGGACGATTGAAAAGAGTTGTATTGAGTTTCTCATTTGAATAAAGATATTTTGAATTGAATTGAAGAACCGGTGCGCGACTACTCCTGCGTTAGGATCTTTAAATGTGCAGAAAAAGCTCTTCAGTTAACAATACATCTTACAATAATTATATTAATAATAACGATATTAAATACCCTAGATACACCAACACGAACAAAATCGTGCCCGATACCTGTCCAAAAGGTACATTGAACGATCCACGGAGTTCCGTAAAATTATCGCGTAGTCAAAATACATACTGTATAAGATCTTAAATAAAACGTATGCGTCAAGGACTTCTGACAGATCGAAATGCAAGCTCGTAAAATTTTACGACTTATTGCTATATGCGGAAGAACTTAGACCTTAGTTCTTTGACTCTACGCGCGATTCTGAACGCGCTGTTAGCAATATAGCAGGCACGGACCGCGAGGAAAAGAGACTGCTATATGGCGACGTATAACCGACCATGCATTCGAATATCACAAATAATTTATATTTACTTCAAATGCGTTAAATTAACAAATATTGACTAGATACCTGTCGAAAAAACGACACTTTTCGTACTATAAGTATTATTTTCGCATTTTTTCGCGGCGCTCTCTGGCATCTTGACTTTGTAGCGGTCCGCGCGTGACTGTGAACCAAAAAGTGCTTGAGTGGAGTTGAAGCACTTCTTGATTGGGACACATTTTGAGCGCTCGTGGTGTATCTAGGGTATTTAATATCGTTGATTAATAATATATTAATTAAATACTTACTCTTGTTTTCAACATTTCATTTTCTTATTATACAATTTTAGTGTTTATTTAATCAGATGCCACTTACTAGCTCAGCAGATCCCTCAAACGCACTCTTCTCTCAGCGGGGCCCTCACCGAACAGGCACACCGGCTCTCCCAATTGCCTCAAACTTCTCCGGACCTATTTAGAAACACGTTATGTACATGTATATTGAAAATATACTGTAGGAGGGGAGTCCAAACGGAGATTCTTGGATTTCATTAAAAATCAAGTGGTTCATTCAAAAATCAAGAGGTTCATTCAAAAATCAAAAGGTTCATTTCTGGGTTGTAGAATTGCTTTGTTTAATAAAGTTCCCCTAGATCTGATTGAGCTTCCACTGACAAAATTTAAATCTCAGATCAAAAATACTCTTATGAATAAGGACTATTATAAAGTTGATGATTATCTAAATGATCGTAATGCATGGACATAGTGTTTCTTTTAATTTGTTATTTGATGGGTATTAGTCATTTTTCATAAACAGTAATATTGTACCTACCTAATGCCGATTCCTATATACTAAATATAATGTTAACTATACAATTTATTGTAACTTTATATTTATATTCTAAATGCTGTAATGGAAGGTGACTTCAGACTTATCTCTGAAGTCATTTTTTCAACTTGAGGACTCTGTATATAACAATACAGGGAGAAAAAAAACAGCCCTTGCTGAGTTTCTTGCCGGTTCTTCTAAGTACAAGGTCTCCCGCCGTAGTTTTGCGGACCGATGGCGTAACTTATTGACCTTCACAAGTGCATATAACAGCCTAGACTGAATAAATGACATTTCATTTCATTTTACTCGAACTCCGCAGATTAATACATAAAGACAACCTTGTCCCTTGTGAAGTACTCCCACCATACCTGAACCATCCATGTGGAGACAAACGTCTAGGGCAACAAAAAAAAATTCAACAAACAGCTAAGACTTTTGCTCGCGTCCAAATCGTCAGTCTTTTCAATATTCCTGATTATCAAATGTTATGCTGGTCTGTAAGGAAGGAGTATGCTCTTTTTTGTAGGTATTTGGGTCGTATTGGCCCAGAAACTCTGACACCTATCCCAAAAAACATCTTATAAGCTTTCTACAAGATATGGTACTAGGAGAGAAGTATGAGAAAAAATAAATAATCACCTCATCATCATCTGTGGATACGTTAAGCTGCCGAGCTTTGCGTCTTCTTTCAAACTCTTCTAATAAGGCCTTCTTGTCCTTCGACATTTCATCTTCTAGATCCATGTATTCTGGGAATGTAAATAAAACACTTATTATAATACATGCTTTAAAAATAATAAAAATTATAACTTATTATAATAATTTATGTTTTTATATCATTTATTTTTTAAGTATTTTTGACTGCTAGATATTTAAATCTAAAGAAAATATTACTAGAAATAAATCCACGCGGAGCAGGCAGCAGACGGGACTCGAACACTGACCATTATGCTACGGCGGCCTTGATGGCCGCGCCGAAATTTCTCTAGCCTTAGGCTGAAAAGTAGCGCCATCTCTTCGAATTGTAGGTAACCTAGTAACGTTTTTTTTAGTATTATTTTCTTTTAATTGACATTTTATCGATTTCATAATAAGTATACCTCTTTAATTCTATGAGGTAGAACGCTGGTTATCCGAATTAATTGGGTCTGGTGTCAATTCGGATAATCGAAAATATGGATGATCGGACATAGACTGGTAATAAAGAAAAACTAACAGTCACACATACTATAAACTTTATAAAGTTTAACAAAGACAGTTCTACAATATTAGAGGTACATAGTTGTAAAAGAAAATTCAGTTCAGGCTTCCAGAAGGAAAGCTTGGGAGGTGGCATTTTAAAAATGTATTTTCTAGTTTTAAATATGAATATCAGCCATAGGCATCGACAAGCAGAAGCTGTAACACTGCCGGTGGCTTACATAATGTGAAATATACATTAATTGTTCGCCTGCATTTTGATTGCTGTGTCATATAGTATAAATACAAATAGGGTTATTTATATTAGCTAGGTACATTAACATCTTCAATATCAAAGCAGTTAGGGTAGACTCATCTCTGCTGGCAGCACCTGTTTACGAGCACGACGCATGAACCAGCCATCACCTCACTGAACTATACTTTAGGGAACATAACCACCCGCCTCATTGCCAACAAACTGTTCTCAGTTTGGCAAGATCTAATTTTTTGTTATCAAGTGTACCCAAAATAACTACAATAAATCGAAAAAAAATATATATGACCACCGCAGAGACTTTTAAGGGTGCATGACTCCATAACCACCCATAGACTAAAGCTTCTAATTTTGTTTTGAGACTAGTCTAATAATGAACTTCCATTTCAATTTCAATTGATTGAGTTACGTCCTAAGGTTTGTTAATGGCTATCACCACCAAAAAACACTCTTAACGTCAATTTCAATATAAAACTACCTTCATACTTAATTGATTATAAAACTTAGCATAGGCAATGAATTCAAAAACGACTTTGCTGTCAGTGTGTGTGCTAGTCACATGTGTTTTTGTTGCTCAACGAAAATTTCAAGTTTAAAGGATATTTGAATCCCCTGTTGACTTATTTTAAGTGTTTATTTGTTGGTGGTGGGTTTAACTGTATAGTTCACGGTAAGTTTTTACTATTTGTTCGGTTTAAAATAAGATAGTCATAATGGCGGATCCGCCAGACCCCGGTGGAGGCGACATCGAATTCGAGGATATCATACCATCGGTCTCTCTGTTCTCACCCGATCTCCCGAGCTCGCAAAAACCTAAAAAACGTGCACTTACAGACCAGGTTGCTTCACAACCTCCAAAAAAATCGAACGTATCGCAAGGTGCGTCAGTTCAGACAACATTCATTAACCCACGTTTTTCTAACAATAAAATTAAGTATTCTGAGGAGGATTGTGCCCCATTCTTGGTCCATGTGGGCAAAAAAGCTTCAGACCCCTCGTCTGGTGCTGTCTTACGACCCCTCAAACTAGGACATTTCCTATTTCAAAATAAAATTAAAAATGTAGTTAAAGATGGCGTTAAGCGGGTAGGTAGAAACAGGATGTCAGTAGAATTTAAGACATTTACGGACGCAAATGTTTTTATTGACCATGCGGCCCTTGCTAATGCTGGTTATGAAGCAATTATTCCCAGCTATAGTATCACTAGAATGGGTGTAATAAGGCAAGTGCCAGTGGAATGGACCTTGGAAGAACTAGTTGACTCCCTAGAGATCCCACCAGGATTTGGGCAAATAGTTAAAGCCCGCAGGCTCTGTAGGAAAATATTCTCTAATAATACCCCAGAGTGGATCCCCACTCAGTCAATTGTTTTAACATTTACTGGACAAAAACTACCTTCACATGTATATTGTTTTTACACCTCTCTTCCAGTTGAGACTTATGTTCTTCCCACTATTCAGTGCAACAAATGTTGCCGATTTGGACATATACAGTCCCAATGTAGGTCCCAGGCCCGCTGCTCCATCTGTGCCCAACCGCATGAGGGTATAACCTGTAACAAGGATACACCTACATGCTTATTCTGCTCTGGCCAGCATAGGGCGACTGACTCATCCTGCCCTGAGCAGTCTAGGCAGAGGCAAATTAAAATTGTTATGTCACAGGAAAATGTGTCCTATTCTGAAGCCTCCGCTAGATTTTCTCCTGTCAGAAGATCATTTGCTGACACTACTCGTAATGATAATGGTCTCAACGCAACCCCTCCTCCCCGTCGTCCTCCCCCCCCATTACTGTCTCAGTCCCAGTCTACATCGTATCGTAAAACGATCACCCAATCCAGACCACGCCCCCTTCCTGCCTTCAGTGCAGGTTACAATCAACACCTCCATAGAAGCATTGTGGAGACTCCTACCTCCCAGCTGCCCAACGGTTGTGCTTATTCCAACGATTCCTCCGTCCCTAACGATAACCTCATGTCTCTTCTTATCTCCACCATTATAAATTTTCTCAGCCGTTTCAGTGATGTCGGCTTACCGAACAACATTCAAGACCAACTGTCTCAGCTTCTCAACCTTATATCTGTTATTAATAATAATGGCTCCAATCCTTCAATGGAATTGTCGCAGTAGCAGAAATAAAGAAAATGAAATTCTTCACCTTCTGAACAAATATTCTCCTGTCGTTTTTGCCATTCAGGAAATGCGACGCAAGCCGGGCGAGAGGGTTCGGTTCCCTGGCTTTGTGTGTTTCCGGGATGATAGAAGCGACGGACAGGGCGGTTCAGCCCTTCTCGTTTCAAATTCTGTTCCATTTTCCCATAAACCTCTTCCACCCCACAGTGAACATGTGAACGCAGTAGCGGTAGTAGTACAAAATATTACCTATATGTCAGTTTATATTCCACACCCCAACAATACAAATTTGGCAGAATTGAATGAGCTCATTCTGTCCCTTTCTCACCCAATGGTGATTTTGGGTGATTTTAACATTCATCACACTTCTTGGGTTTCTTACCATTGCGATCACTTATCCTCATCCTTTTTAGATATCTGTGACACATACTCCCTTTGTATTTTAAATGACGGTTCCCCTACCCGCAGAGTATACCCATCTCAAAATGTTAGAAGTGCAGTAGATCTGACTCTGTGCTCACCATCCTTGGCATCACTTATGATATGGACAATCCTTCCTATTACCCATGGAAGTGATCATTTCCCAATTGTCGTTTTTGGGGCAAATGACACAACACAATATTCATCCTTAGGTAACCGTCCCCGACCTCGAATAAAATATAATCTGTCCAAAGCTGATTGGTCCTTGTTCAAACATAATTTGGACCAGGAGCATCAACATTTTCCTGCAGTCAACGCAGACAATTATCTCTCTCTATATACAAAGTTTAGGGACTGTCTGCTATCAGCAGCAGAAAAATCATTTCCATTTAAAAATTATTTTAAAGGTAAATCATCTTCCCCACCTTGGTGGGATTCCGAATGCACATTAGTATGTAAAGAGAGAAAGAGCGCTGAAAAGGACTATAACATCTGCTCGTCTAAATCTAATTACATTAAGTACCGTGCAGCTGCAGCAAAAGCTACCAAAACTCTTAAGGCCAAAAAAAGGCTTGGTTGGCATAGATTCTGCGAAGTCCTTTCTCCTAAATCTCCTCCCTCTATGGTCTGGAGGAATGTTAGGAGATTTAGGTGTTCAATGTCCGACGTTTTTAACATCTCCTCTAATGATCCCTCAGAGTGGTTGGATGCATTCCAAAACAAATTAGCTCCACCGTCAGTTCCCACTAGTAGCGAAGCAATCATTTCTCTTATTCCTTTACCTCCGCACTTAACAGAATTTGATGCACCATTCTCTGTAGAGGAACTTTCTGCCGTACTGAACGGCCTGAGGGACTCCTCTCCAGGCGTTGATGGTATTCCATATTCCTTTATTATCAACAGTTCTTTAGCATCCAAGGACCTATTTTTGAATATCCTTAATTTCATTTTTCTCTCGGGGGTTCCCCCGGAAGAGTGGAAAACCCAAATCATCATTCCCATTCTAAAACCTGGAAAGCTTAGCAATGATCCGAACGGATATAGGCCCATTGCTCTTTCTTGCACTATGTCCAAAATTTTAGAGCACTTAGTTAAAAACCGACTTGAATGGATTGTGGAAAGTAGAGGTCTTCTGGCTAAAAGCCAATTTGGTTTTAGAAAGGGTATGAGTACCATGGACAGCCTTAGCATTTTTCTATCTGATATCTGGATCGGCTTATCTAAAAACGAGAATGTAACAGGAGTGTTCTTAGATGTGTCATCTGCATATGACAATGTTCTGCTTCCGCTACTCAGGCAAAAACTGCTCAAGCTGAGTATCCCCGTGAGGCTTATAAATATAATATTCAGTCTCCTGTCTGCACGCTCAATACAAGTTTGCTTAAATAATTCTCTTCTTCCACCAAGATCAGTCTGGAAAGGTCTACCCCAGGGGTTTGTCCTAAGCCCTCTTCTTTATAATCTATATACATACGATCTAGAACTTTCTCTCAACTCATTCTGTAACGTCCTGCAATATGCAGATGACATATGTCTATATGTCTCAGATTCTAACCATGAAGCTTCCAAGTCCCGCCTCAATATGGCTTTGTCATATTTAGATAATTGGTTATCTGACCATGGCCTTTCACTTTCAGTTATGAAGAGTAATATTGTAATTTTTACTCGCTCCAGAAATACTCCCAATACCATTATCAAGTTTGAAGGTCAAACCATTCCAGTAAAAAACCAGGCCAAGTTCCTTGGAGTGGTCCTTGATTCAAAAATGACCGGATTTCATCACATCGCCCATGTAGTTAAAAAGTGCGAAAAAAATATAAATATTCTTCGATCTCTGTCTGGAACCTGGTGGGGAGCCCATCCCTTCTGTCAGAAGTTACTTTACAACGCCCTAGTTCGAAGCCACTTGGACTATGCATCTTTCTTACTGGAACCCTGCTTAAAATCTTCACTAAAATCCCTAGATAAGTTGCAGTCTAAGTGTCTTCGCATAATTTTGGGAGCTAAAAAGTCTTCAGCTATCAACGCCCTACAGGTGGAATGTACGGACCCTCCACTGTCTATCAGGAGACAATATTTAGCTGATAAATTCTTTTATAAAATTATCCAGAACAGAGATCACCCTTTAATAGGGAAACTCCATGAACTTTCCGAATTCATTTCGTCCAATAAATTCTGGAAACATAAATCCCCACCCTGTTTATTTAATAGCTTTCTCTCGTTCATTCGTCTTCCGTTCCCCATATACCAATGTGTTTCAAATCCTCTCTTTGACAACTTGTTTCCATCTCTAGTCTCTCAACCTGACATATCCTTAGACTTGGGCATCTCTAAGGACACTCCTAACACAGACTTTGTTTTAGAAGCTCTCATTAGAAAGAATTGGGTAGAGTGGCTGGAGGTATACACAGACGCCTCAAAACTTTCCGACAAAGATTCTGTAGGCTCAGCAGTTTGGATTCCCAAATTCAAAATTATTCTAAACTTTAAATGTCCTCCCCACACTTCAATCTTCACTGCAGAAGCAATAGCTATCCTCGAGGCAACAATGTATATTGAATCACATAAACTTGATAAAAGCATTATCTTTTCAGACTCTAAAAGTTGTCTTCAGGCAATTATGTCCAACCCTTTCCGGAACAAAACAAATTTCCCCTGTATTTTAAAAATTAGAAATGCTTTATATAGATGTCACAGACAAGGAATAAGAGTCGCATTAGCGTGGATCCCTGGCCATGTGGGTATAGATGGCAATGAGGTTGTAGACTTAATTGCAAAAGACGCTATAACTAAGGGAAGCCCCAGTTACAACCAGGTTTTCTCCCATGATTTGACCTCCCTAGCTAGTCTTCGGATGGGAACCACCTGGAGCTCCCAATGGAAACTATCCAGCAAGACGGTCGGAAAACATTATGCGGATATCCAAGATATCATCCCAAGTAAACCTTGGTTTTCCAAGTTTAAGAATGCCTCAAAGTCGTGTACTTCGACCATTTGCAGACTAAGAATAGGGCACGTAAACACCCCCGTCTTCCTTGCCAAAATTAAGGTTAAAGACAGCTCACTATGTGAATGCGGGCTGGATGAAGGAACAACCGAACATATTTTCTTTAGTTGCCCAAAATACCCGGTTTCACTCTATGACATCCTTCCACCATATATTCCCAAACCTATAAATTTTAAAACACTCCTAACCTATGTTAACTCTCCCTTTATTATCCTACTTTGTGAATATATATCCAAAAATAATATACGCTTGTAATTGTTTGTCTCTGGACTAACCAACTAACATTACTGACTTTTTTTTTGTGTTTGTCTCTACCTTTCAGATAAGACAACAGATATCCAATTACAAAAATTCAAGTACATTGTTTACTCCTTTCACATATTGTGCTTTCACAACATACTTAAAAAAAAAAAAAAAAAAAGCAAAGTCAATTCCTACTGAACAACCAAGCTGAATCACTCGAGTCTGGAGAAATCCACAAAAGTGCACCGCCATTTTCTAAAAAGAAGAAGAAGAAGAATTCAAAAACCTTTAAATTTCAGGATAAAAACATCATCATCATCAACAGTACAGGCCTTCCCTATGGATGGAATAGGGAGATTGGGCCATGACCCACCACGCGGGTCCAGTGCAGATTGGTGGGTGCTAACGAATGCAGATGCAGCCGGGAAAATTAAAAAATTAACATATAAAAACATACCATTTGAGATTTGAATGTCTCCTAATTCTTTTCCGCCTGAGTCCTCGCCATCCTCGCGGGCGGCGGCGGCGGCCAGGGCCGCAAGCCGAGCCTTTTCTTGCTCTTCCAGAGATCCATAATGGACCTGCTTGCTCTTCTTTATCAAAATAACATCTTCATCATCAGACATTTTAAGGTTATAATTTGTACAGTCTGTGTAGGAATCAATTTATTATGTTCTATAGGTAATCGTGTGTTGCAAAATGATGTGTAAAGTTTTCTATTCACGATTGAAGTTCAACTGCACAGAGAATATAAAAGAATAAAAGGAATTCTTTGAAAACAATCCACTTGCCGACTATCAACAAATATGATTATTCGAATTCCGTTCCACTCAATTTACCGAATATAGATATGGTGAAAAATAAAAATAAAAAATGAGTTTTGTATCCTCAAATAAAAGAATATTATTAATTAGAAGTCAATAGTATGAAATGTTATATTCATAAAAATATTTAAATCTGTAGTGATTTATATACGGATTCAGTATCACTTAAAATATCAAATTGTTATTTTTATGCGTGAAACGAAATATGACTGGACAGTCATAGACAATATACATACCATTCCTAAAAATGACATCTTTATCAGGGGAGAATTTTACACGAGCGGGTAGGCACTTAAAAAAAGTTTTTGTCTTTTTCATATAATGGCAAGAGGGGACCAAAAAATAAATATTTATATAAATACAGCTAGCTCAATTAGGAAAAAACGGGATGTATGCTCCCATCTGGTTCATGTAGCTTCCGCGTGTTAGGTGTTGTGGTTGGGAGTACCGATCCTCGGTTTACACCATAAGTTCATATGTTTTTAAAAACACTAGTTCATGTATCATCAAGACTGCTCGCTGCTCGCCACGTAACCGTTGAGACTTTATTGGGGTATTTTTGGGAGCTTCGTCGGCACGATCAGCTGTCTTATCTGTTCAGTTTTTATACATTTACATTGATGTCGATTCTGGAATGATTTTCTAAAGCTAAACTTAAATTTGACAACAGTGTATCTTTGTCATTCTCTATACAGAATGAAAAGGACAGGCTGATGTTAAATTTAGTTTTTGTTGTTTAGAGGATCCTGCCAGAATCGACACAATTGTGTAATTAAAGTAAAATAGCATGCTTTTTAGGAGAAGTATCTAAGTCGCATTTAATTTAAGTAGTAATGGAATAATAAATAGCTCGGCGATTACCACTTCCATCTTTCAAAAACCGTTAGCCATTAGGCCTAATGCTGCCCTACCCGTTTACAAGTTCTAACTGCTTATTATGACGCCATTAAGATACTTGTTCTGAAAAGCATGTAAGTATTTTCTTAGCAAAAAAAAAGCAGTTCTTTGTAGAGCATGACATATCAGTTATAATCGCCTTATCCTATTGTGCCAGGACACGTTATCTTAAAATTGACAAAAAATAATGACAGTGGTGTCGATTCTAGCATGATTCTCTAAACCTAAACTTAAATTTGACAGCAGTATATCCTTGTCGTTCTCTATACAGAATGAAAAGGAGAGACTGATGTTAAATTTAGTTTTAAGTTTAGAGAATCACGCCAGAATTGGCATCAGTGTGTATAATTACTCCTTTAAAAATATGAATGAATAGTTGATAGTGGATTTAGTAATTATCTTTTATTTGTTTTTGAAAAGTTGAATTTATTAAATAATTTTCTTGTTAATACATATTATTATTATGTGCCTGATTTATTAATGTTCAATTTAGCGTCAGATTATACTTTGTATCTATAGCACGCTCAGCATAGAATTTACAGCTGATGCACATCAATATTAGTTAAGAGAAACTGCTGACCAATCGCGCTATTTATTATTTTAAACGATCCGCCAGAGTTCAATTATGGTTTGATCTTTGTCCAATTCTATTTATAACTCAACTTTATACGAAATCGATATCGCGCTAATTTTCACTTGTCAGCTGTTGTCAACTGAAATCTACTTTATGTTTTGAATGAAGTTCACTGGAGTACGTTTACATCTTAACTAGCTGTCAAAACTTTAACGCGATATATACAAAATAACATAAAAAGTTGCGGTTCGTGTACGTTTCAATGCGTTTTAGTTGTTTGACATTTAGTGCGATCGGCTTCCTGGTATATGGCATTGTCCTAATACAACGCGATAGCGCGAATGAGCGATGCGATCATCGTACGATTCGACGATCAAACATATTGATCTAGAATAGGTGTCCTAATAGGCGATCGCGCAATGCACACGCGCGACTAAAATGTCATATCCGTAACTAGGAGCCAAACCAATATTCAAAACATTTATTCAATATAGAATAGATCATTTTAACAAAAATCAATGTAAATTTTCTGGGGAGAATTTTTTTCAACTCTTCCTTCCCTTTTGTCTATGATTAGCATTTTTTATAAATCAAATTTGACTTTTTGTGTATGTGTAGTCTTTTTATCGCAAATAATTCACTAAAACATAATTAAATGTGTAAAATAAAAAGTATCGCTATACAATAGTGATTAACTTGAAGTGTTAACTTATCACAAGTCTCTATAAACTCTAAAAAAGTGTCTGATGAAAACATAACCTTAAACGCATCTTTATGAAAGACTAAAACGATTTAAACAAGTGATTGACCATGGCGTTGCAACTATCTCGTCGGGAGGTCGAAGATCTCCGCTCCTCGCTGGACAGAGCAATCTACAGAACGATAGGAAAGTCAGATAATTCACTGTTATCAACAGTGTCATCTTGTCTCACAAATGGGTAAATATTTGCAAATTTGGTGATACAATTTAATATTTTGTTCTCTTAATCTCTTGATTTATTATTTCTAAAGGCCACACTCTGACCCTAATTAGAAACAAACACCTCAATTTATTAAACAGTCTTCTATTTCCAACAAATGTATTATTTTTACTTACAGCTTAATGTGCAATTTACAAAACGGAAAATTTCTGCAAAATACCCTTACCAAAAATAATACTGCAAAGAAAATGTTTAAGTATTGATTGATTTACATTATATATTTGCTGTTTGTGTGATGGACTCAAACTATTAAAGTTCCTGTATTAAGTATTTTAGTAATTTATGATATTACGAGTTTAATTTTTATTAGTAAAATGCAAGTACAAACCTCTTTATTTTTTATATCCCCTGTTGCCTCAAATAAACTAATGAACATCCTATTAGCTACATTTATTTGCATACAATATTAGCTGCATTTATTTGTATGTAAATATAAATAATATAAATAGGCTCCTGTAGGATATTTTGGCATCTTCTATCTCCTATGCAGTCCTTGTATGAGTAAATGGATCATTCCATGTCACGGTTGTTACAGGTCGCACACATATAAAAGATAATTAAATAGTAATCTTAAAGGAAATTGTTTTTTTGGTACTTAATTCCATTATATGTAATTGAATTTCGGGGTAATTTGTAGGGGGGGTGGAGGGGGGGCTCCCCCCGACCCCCCCGCCATAAAAGATTTTTGGCGGAAATGCAGTTTTTTTTTTTTTACCTAACCTAAAAATTCATTAAATCTGTTAAATGTAGTGGAATTTCAGGGGGATAGGTATTAGGGAAGACCCCTCAGAGGGAAGGGTAAATCCCCCTCCCCCCTCCCGGCGTTTTTTTACAGAAATGATAATTATAAAAAATTAGAGGGGTTTTATAGGTAAAACTGTACTTCCAGGGCCTAGAGATGATATTTGATTTTTTTGTAGAAAAAGTCTCTATTAACGAATTTTTCTTTCTGGCGCTTCGCCGGCCGCTGCCGCGGCACGCTCGCTTCGCTCGCTCGGCTCGCGCGTTAAGGTCACAACACTAACCTAACCTAACCTAGTGTGAAGTATCACCACACAAGCGGCTCATTAGAGTCCAAAACTCGCACTACACTCGACTCTTCAGGCGAAGGGCCAGCAGAACTCGAGGTCGAAGGCTTTGAGGATGGTAGTCAGACGACGTTAATATCAACAGGAGTACGAAAAAGCTCTCAACTGCGACGAACACAAACACTGACTGACAGATCTCATTAATGGCGGTAAATTGTCACATTTTGACAATAGTACCAACATAATAAACTTATATTTACCATAGACAACGAGAAACATGTTATTTTTGCATAAAAAAATGGCAGCACTGATCAAAATTGCTGTCAAAATTGACTCATAACCTACAAAAATATTAATTTTCAATAATTTTTTTTTCTAGTTCTATTCGTTTCCGCCTAAAAAGATTTCGTGTACGTGTTTTTAATAGTTAACACTTTGCGTGGCAAAAATTTCAGCTTGCAACTCAATTACATATAATGGAAAGCTGAGCCGTTTTTTTTGTTCCCAAAACATTTACTTTTTACATTGTATTTCCATTAAAATTTGACCAAAATTTTAAATCATATGGAAGTATGAAAAATTTATTAAAATAATGTGTAATGGGTGTTTTGCATCATTTTGCCTATTGATAGGGTTGCAGGAATACAAAACTGCGAATTTAGATAAAAAAAAATATGAATGTTACTTTAACTGAATAATATTGAAAAGGATTGTCTGTTACACAAAATTTTAGGATCTTTCGTTCTTTTATTGTCTAATGTAATGCTAACTTTAATGCAAAATGGGTAAGGGTGTTATAGGCTTTTGTAACTGGTGTTACGAGTGCAAAATGAACAGTTTTTCAGCATAATATCTTAATTTCAATAATATTTTATAGAAGTTTCTTCTTACTCTAATTCTTCGATATATTGAAAGAGAGAAGGAGAGAGATTCAAAACTGGCATTCATTTTTTCTAAATTATCATTGAACCAATGAAATGTCAAATCATTATGTAAAATTCTTGATTACATTACATTCACAAAAGATTGAATTCTCATTCCAGTTACGAACGCCGCAAGATCATAGACAAAATCTCAGCACACATAGACTCAAAGAAGGCCAGCAAGCTTGCTGACAAAGTCTTAGCTCTGGCACAAGAGTTGATATCAACATCCAAGTCGCAGAAGCGAAAACATGAAGGAGACCGGGAGAAAGACAGTAAGAGATCACGGCATGAAGAAAAAGAGAGTCGGCATGAGCAGAAGGAGGCGCGTAAAGAGGAGAAACCTCCACCAGAGGAGAAGGAGAAGAAGTTGGGCAATGGGAATGGTATCGAGGTGCTGCCTTTACCTTCTGTAATGCCTGAAGGGGAGACTGTCGGATCCAAAATTGCTGTGCTCAGTGCTGATAGGATTAAGGTAAAGTTATTTATCATCATGAAGATTAATCAAAATTTAGAAGGGTAAGGTTCTCGTTTCTTTTCTTCTTCTTTCTTTTTTTAATGGCTCAACGGGGATATACCCACAATTCTGCCAATTTCACGTAGATAGCCACTACACGACAAGGGATTCTTAATAAAATTAATTTTAAATTAGAGAAGTTGAAAATACTATTTTAAAATTTATTAAGTAGTCATTGGTATATAAAACAGGTACATAATTTAATCATTTTCTGTATTAAACAAGTTAACAGTTTTTAATTCATTCAGTCATATGATGAATGGTTACATAATAGCAATAATTTAAAGTTTTTGGCCATATCTCAAAAGTTGGTTTTGTCATTTAGCTGCATTTTAACTAGAGAACGGCACATTAGAACAAAAGAAAGGAGCGCGAAACAATCACGTCTGTACAAGTTTTTGGCGCTAAAATCCAGCCGAATACTTTTGCCTAATATTCGGCTATTCGGTCAGGGGCCTCGCCGAATATTCGGTATACTGCCGAATATACTATTCGTTGCAAGTCTAATTCTTATTTAATTAATAGTTAGATTAGATTTCTTCAGTGATGGCTCCCTCGTGGTTTGGCCAATATCCAGTGTTTGTGTCCAAAATTTCTTGACTAGGTTTGTTTGGTAAGGGCTTCTTTATTGTTTTATTGACGACCTCTATGGCCGAGTGGTTTGTACGCCGGGTTTCATGGTGATGCCGATTCAAGAGGTCCTGGGTTCGAATCCCGGTGAGGCCAGATGTTTTGTGTGATGAATATGAGCATTTGTATTCCAGTCATGGATGTTTAATATGTATTTCTTTATTAATATACTTATATATGTACTGTTTATGTATTCTATCCATTACCCTAGTACCCCATAACACAAGCCTTAGGGTGCGGCCAGAGTGCACTCAGATTCAGACTCAGATTCAGATTTCGAAAACAAGCGCGAGAAATAAACAGTGTAGTCTAAGCAGGTTGCTTGCTTTTTCTCGCGCTTTGTTTTCTGAGTCTGAATCTGAATCTGAATCAGGAGTGCAATCTGGCCGTACCCTTCGACTACACTGTTTATTTCTCGCGCTTGTTTTCAGAATCTGAATCTGACTCTGAATCTGAGTGCACTCTGGCCGCACCCTTAGGCCATATACAGAAAGAAAGCCGAAAACCTATCGGCGCCGATCCTTTTTCTATGGACCCGCGCCGACACGCGCTGGTCAGCTGGTCATTATGATCTATGTTGTCCGAATAATAAATAATTTGTATTTGAATTATTATCCTTAGATTAAATCAATCTAAGTTATAATCTTTTTATAAATCTAATAACATTATCTTTTATTAACTCAAAATAAAATTATTTGTTTCGTATTTACCGAATGGTGACAACAAGTCTTTCTTCTGGAAGGATTGGTTATTTATGCAAATTGCACCAATTTTTCATTAAACGGATTTTCACTAAATCCAAAATATAATAAAATGTTTCTTGAGTCATTCTTGTATAATGTATAAAATCTTTGGCCATCTTTCATTTTTTTTACAAATAAATGATGGTATTCTCCGAAACGTTTCCTTTCTCTATTTATGTATACGTTGGATGTATAGCTTTTTTTCGCATTTTTAAATACACATTTTCTAACCAAACCAAATCATCGTCCGATGAGTCCGACATTTTGCTTGATCTGCTTTAATCGACTTCCTTTATGTAGTAAGGATCGGCTTTCGGCTTTCTTTCTGTATACGGCCTTACAGTGCTTACTTTGGGGCTAGGCTAATTGATGTGAGTGTTGGAAATACACACATCAAAAGTGTCTAGGGATCAACATATATTTTTGCAATAACTTTTCTCCTGATTGATATTAATTAAAATTTTCTTTAAGGATTCATCAAATAAAGTGTTTTCGTTTGTCACAGTAACGATAAACCAAGTCACCTTTGCATTAATAAAGAAATTTGCCATTTTCCTAATAAAGGGATTTTTGACATTTGAACCACTAACACAAAAGTTCGAAAAAAAGACTGAAATAACAGTTTTCTCTAAAATTTTATTGGGTAACTTAAACAATTAATAATCCGTATTTCTACCGCGAACACTAACAACACAAGAACATCGGTTTGGCATACTCAAAATGAGTTCATCCAAATCACGCTGTGGAATGGCCGCCCATGTTCGTTGCAACAACAAAAAAAGGTCTTCTTGCGACTGGATACCCTCCATATTCGGCAGAGCTCTTCTCTGTAGCATATCCCATGCATGCTCAATCGGGTTCAAGTCTGGCGACTGAGCAGGCCAGGGCAGGACATTGATGTTAGCTGCGGCGAGAGTCTGTCTTACAACTCTTGCGGTGTGCGGTCGTGCATTATCATGCATTAACTGAAATAAGGGACCGATTTGCACTTGTAGAGGAACGATGACGTCTGATACAATCGTCTCAGCATAAATTTGAGCGTTGAGGTTGCCTCTGATCCAAATCAACTCAGTTCTTCCGCCGATCCAAATACCCGCCCATACCATGATGGTTCCACCACTATAAGGATGGACTTCCTGGCAGGATTTTAATCGCTGTTGGCGTCCAGGGGTTCTCCAGTGTCGTATACGTCTTGTATCCGGTCTCATACCAAAACGAGACTCATCAGAAAAGCACACGAAACGCCATTGTTCTTCTGCCCAATTTCTGTGTTCAAGAGCCCATTGATATCGAATCCTACGATTGTGCATTGCTATAGGTGGTACCCGTAGCGGTCTTCGGGAATGAAGGTTCACTTCATGCAAGCGGTTTCTGACTGTTTGGTCGCTAATTAAGTTCCCTGAAGAGTGATGAAGCCTCACGGCTAACATCATGGCGGTTATTGTTGGAGCTCTTCGAGTTAAGATTTGAATGTATCGGTCTTGTCTCCGTGTGGTGCAGCGATACCGTCCTCCATGGCGCTCAGCCACGGTACCAGTGCTTCGGTATCGTGTCCAAAGTCGACTGATAACACTCTGACTTGTATTCAGAGCTAAAGCCACAGTACGTTGCCGGGAACCAGCTTCTATCATTCCCACGGCTCTGAGCATTTCTTCCCTGCTTAAATGACGTCGCCGCTCCATAATAACGTTGGTTTTAATCAGTAGTAGGGAAACAGTAGCACTAATAATGTCTTCAATGCGTTGTATGTTTTTATAGGGAAAATATTGACAGCTGATTTTCATCTTTTACTCGAATTTGATTCACAGTTCCTGATTCAAATTATGAAATGCACCAAAAAGGATCCATATAAATTTATAAAATCATAAATTTATTACAAAGCCACATCTCAATCTCAAGAAATCCGCATAAAAATGCTTGATCCCTAGACACTTTTGATGTGTGTATTTATTTATTTTAACTCGGCTTATGCTGTGGAAGGGCTTTGTGCAAGTACAGGGACAACTATATTAATTATAATCAACCTAGAACTGGAAAAGTATATCATTTACGAATATTAAACTATGTATCGACGGCTTAAGTGACTCAGTATCCGGATAAACCCAATTTGGGTTTTTTGTTACTTTTTTATTCATTACTGTATTTTGTTTATATTATCAAATAAATGAAAAAAAAAAGAACTACAAACGAGATAGAACATGGCTGAACTAAATATAATATTTATTAAATAAAACTAGTTTTAATAAATAATTAAAGTTTCGTGCATTAACACGTCAAAGCTAGTTTTATTTAATGAGTGATGTGCGTGAAAAACCTAAGAAAGAAATATATAAAACTAAAGGCCCGCCCTCGCTTCGCTTCGGTGTAGAGCTGAAGTGTAGACTACAGTTTTTGTTCTCAGGCTTGTATTATACACAATGACATTCATCTATGATTCTTCTTATACCTGCATGCAAAGTCTCAGCCCGATCGGTTTAAAATTGACAAAGTTTTGTACAAACTTTCATTCCCTATTTTATCCCCTTGGGGGTACAATTGATCAAAATCCTTTCTTAGCGGATGCCTACGTCATAACATCTATCTGCATGCCAAAGGACAATGTTAAAATTGGCCTAAGAACCAACACCAATTTGGCATTTATGATAATTCTTAGTATATTTTTTGCGATAATTATCAGTATATAGATTGTGACGGACACTTCCAGATAAGTAAGCTAAATTAAAAAGTTAATAAATAATCTGAGACAATAGATACCATTTTATGTGTATAATCTATGACAGCACTGCAAACAAAAAACACTTTCTTCCTAACGCCGGCACATCACTTGGCTATTCGTATTTGCAATTTAAAAACATGACATCAGTCTGTCCTTTTCATTCCTTATTAAGCATGACAAGGACAAACTGTTGTCAAGTGAAGGGCCGGCATAAACTCGATACTTTGTGGTTGTGGTGCAGGCAGTTTGCAATCTGTGGCATTCGTGCATTCTCGTCAAAGAGTACTTTTTATATACGGAAAATTCTCGTTCGGATTACCTGTTGTGTGTGTTTATTTGCGATTGTTTTTCCTTTAATTTAACTATTACTATTTCGGCTATCTAATATGCCATCGATGTAACCAGAGAACAGAGACCTTATTACCAAATGCTAGTGAATCTGTGCCACAACATCCTGAGAGGATCATACTACCAAATTATTCAAGAGCACCTGATACACATTCACGCTGCATATTTACACAATATACATGTGTTAAACAAATAAATACAATATGAGAAAATTGTGAAAAATAGTCAATAAATAATAAGAAGCAAAATTATTGTTTTTATTTTATTCATGATTCCTACCTAACCAAGTTTTTCCTAATAGTTATTCTTTAAAATCGCATCGAATAAAATGAATTAGTTGTAATTAATTCACTTTATACTGAGTTCATACTAAGTTCATAGGTTAACCTATGTTTCATTGAATATTAAACATAACCTCAAAAAGATTTTAGTTTTGCTAATAATTTAAGGTCTGAGAAGTGTCCGTCAATAATCTTTGTTTTTACAGTCATTTACTTGCGATTTCGAACCTAGAAAATAATATTTCATGATTGTTGGTTCTTAGGCTAAGTATGTATGGACACAGAACAATGTCCTTTCAGCCCGATCCGTCCAGTGGTTTGGGCTGTGCGTTGATAGATCACTATGTCAGTCAGTCACCTGGAGTTTTATATATAAAGATTTATGTTTGTACACAACAATAACCTGTGTGCGCAATAAAAATGATTTGAATTTGTATTCTATGCTTGAACCTTAACTTCCATATTCCTCACAGCTGATGATGGCCAACGCCCAGAAGGAGATAGAAGAACGCAAACGCGCCCTAGTGGGCATGCGCGAGAGTAAGCCCGGCGTCAACGTGGCGGCTGCCACCGCGCAACAGATTAAGGCCCAACTGCAGAACAGCGCGATGCCGCCGCCCAGTGTTATCAAACCGACGCTGTACTCTAAACCTGGTAAGAATATTTATTTTTAAGTGAAAGGACACCCGGCATTTTGTGCCAAAATTGTATACTTTTTTAATTTTTGAAGTTATACTTCTTTGGGCGCGTTATGAAAAAATGATGAGAGTGAAATTTTTAGATGCGCGCGCATCACTGTAACACAAAAGTAACAGCATGAAGTTGGCCGCGGGCGCGTTATGAATGTTAATGTCTAATAATGGTGGATTATTAACCACTTAGTGGTTAATAATCCACCATTATTAGACATCTGTTCGAAAGGTACTTTGAACGATCCACGGAGCTCCATAAGATGATCGCGTTGTCAAAAACAATGTTGGCACGCTCGTCGCCTCTGATCACTGTTTTCATATTTATAATATTTATCCACATGTTTCTAGTTTCTATATAGACACAACGTGTTTTAGTTACTTACAAGTGCTAATTACATATGGACTAATAACTTAAATTCAGTAGTGATTTTAATTGAATATTTTGAATATTTATTTAATTTTTCAAATTAAAACTGAACTTAATTGACTGTGTTAACTATCCTTTTCCAGTCCTTTTATTATTTTATTGTAATTATTAATTATTTGCATGCAATTAAAAAATATTTTTAATGATGCTAAAGAAGTATAACTTCTCACGCGCGTACATAAGTTACACGCATCCATTTTTTTTTATCTGTGTTTCATAATTGGGTAACGTAGTCTGGCAATATTTGTTATCAGCAGCTAGCTGTCAATGTCAATACGTTGGTTTGTCAATATAACCTCTATATGTAGCCGGGTCGTCAAGAGAAATAACAGATAAAAAGGCAATCACAGCAGAGAAAATTCACAATCACAGTACGCGGGAGCGGATGCGAAGTGCGAATGATTTTTTTGTTTGTATTTTAGGATTGTCAAATTGACATTTGGTTTTTTATTTAGAAAAAGCAAAGGAATCATGGTTTTTACAGTCACTTGAGTAATATTTTGAAGTAAAATTCTGTTCCTTGAAGTTTTAGGGTTTCCATATCAAAAAATATTAATCATGATATAACTTCTTTCCACGATTCACTAAAAATAAGGCAAAAGTAGTTTTATGTAGCAAATAATTTTGGCTTTATTTTGAGACCGAATTCAACTGTATACAAGTTTAGAATTTTTTCTATGAAAAGTGCCGGGTCTCCTTTCTTTACGGATGGAGTGTAAATAGAAAAATAGGGTATTTAACAGTATTAAAAATAAAGTGCCAATCGTTAGCATCTGTGTTTAGAATGAATATTGGCAGGAATTTTCACGATTTTTACAGAAAAAAATATATTCATAATTTTACTAAAAACCCAAGAAAAAGATAATCTATTGTCACGTGACCCAAACCGCTTGCAATCCCAAGCCTAGAATGACGTCACACGCAAGTAAACTTCCGGTTAAAGTGACATTATATTGTATCGTTTGACGTTTAAATAACAGTCGTGTCGTCACACGCGTGTTTTAGTTACTTACAAGTGCTAATTACATATGGACTAATAACTTAAATTCAGTAGTGATTTTAATTGAATATTGTAATATTGTGACGTCTCACACACTAGTAAGACGCCATATTGTCCAGAGAAACGTTTTCGCGGCAACATGAAAATGGAGTTTTTGATTTGGTTATTTTAACTGAAATACACAACAGAATGATGAATATCCACTTTTTACGGACTCCATAAACATTAATCAATAACGTGAGATCGTTTTCTAACACTTGTCAAATACCCTATTCTGTAGAAAAGATGAAACGTCACTGGCGTCACGCGATTATCTTTATATATATAATTCTTCTGTGAGTGTGTATGTCACTGAACTTCTCTTAAACGACTGGACCGATTTTGATGAAAGTTTTTGTGTGTGTTCAAGGGGATCTGAGAATGGTTTAGATTCCCGCTGGACAATGTTTTTTTAATTAATTTTTAATTTATTAGTAGTTGTTGATTTTGGAATGTTTTACATTGGATCCGACAGACGGCGCTACCATACTAGACAGGACAACGTCTGTCGGGTCCGCTAGTAAATATATGTGTGTGGGATGTGTGCGCAGCTCTTCGCAACGAGCATAAAAGTTGGAAGGTATCTCGGCGAAGGCTGAAACGTCACCAGCGTCACACGCGACAATATACCTATATCTAATATATAAAATTCTCGTGTCGCGGTGTTTGTGGTTAAAGTCCTCCGAGACGGCTCGAGTGATTTTCGTGAAATTTTATATGCATATTCAGTAGGTTTGAGAATCGGACAACATCTATTTTTCATCCCCCTAAATGTTAAGGGTAATCCACCCCTAAATTTTTTTTTTAATTATAGATTTTTTTTTTATTTTTTTTATGATACATCATACAAAAATACATACAACCCTAAATTTTCACCCTTCTACCACCAACCCCTATTTTTTTATGGCGGTACGAAGTTCGCTGGGACAGCTAGTAAATATATATATGTGTATGTTTGTGTGTGGGATGTGTGCGCAGCTCTTCCCAACGAGCATAAAAGTTGGAAGGTATCTCGGCGAAGGCTGAAACGTCACCAGCGTCACACGCGACAATATACCTATCATCATCATCATCATCATCATCAGCCTATTAATGTCCCCACTGCTGGGGCACAGGCCTTCCCTATGGATGGAATAGGGAGATTGGGCCATGACCCACCACGCAGGCCCAGTGCGGATTGGTGGGTGCTAACGACTGCAGATGCAGCCGGGACCAACGGCTTAACGTGCCTTCCGAAGCACGGAGGAGCTCGAGATAGTAAATTTTTTTGGTCACCCATCCAATGACCGACCACTGCGAAAGTTGCTTAACTTCAACGATCGTAGCCGAACGCGCTAACCACTTGCGCCATCGAACTCCTCAATAATATACCTATATACATATATAATTATTTGACTTTGTTTCAGCGGCGGCTCCCGTGTCCGCCGAAGAGTTGGAGAAGCAGCGGAAGATCGCTGAACTGCAGGCCCGGATACAGAGGAAACTGGCTGGTAACATTTCACTTTGGTCGATTGATTTTGACAGATTTTCCAATAGAACTGTACCTCTAGCACGAACCAATATCGAATTCGTATCGTTTGCGAGTACGAAATGTCATTGTCAGATGTGTAATGATTAAATAAAACTAGTTTTTACGGGTTAATGCACGAAACTTTATTTATTTATTGACGTTTCCTAGCCTTTACAGGCTTCGTCGTCAGAATAAAACTTTTATTTAATTTGTCGAGCTACCTTCGAAAGACTTAATTTCGTTAATGAAGTAACCAAACGCTCAATAAAAGTCTTTCGAAGGTAACTCGACAAATTAAATAAAAGTTTTATTCTGACGACGAAGCCTGTAAAGGCTAGGAAACGTCAATAAATAAATAAAGTTTCGTGCATTAACCCGTAAAAACTAGTTTTATTTAATGAGTGATGTGCGTGAAAACCTAAGAATATGTGTAATGATTTTTAGTTTTCGTTGCGTACTTTGTGCCGCTGCTGTTCAAGTTTCCATACAAAATTTGACATTGACATTTCGTACTCGCATTCGTTACGAATTCGATATTGGTTCGTGCTAGGGGTACTGGACTGCATTCGATACCTACGGTTACGCTCTGAGTGCAACTGCAGTCTGTTCATCATAACTTGTCCCATCTGGTAATGAAACTTGGCACTCCTTTTTTTTGAAAATGCAGCATTGAAATTCACTTGTTTTTTTTTATTTATTTATTCACTAAACATGCTGATTTACAGAACTAGTTCCAACGCATCAGCAGGTCACATTAATTCAATTTATAAATAAAATACAAATTATACATTACAATAAATTAATAAATACAATAACATTAATTGAAAATAACACATCAGCAGGTCACATTAATTAAAATTATAAATAAAATACAAATTATACATAACAATAAAATAAAAAAATAAATTAATAAATACAATAAAATTAATTGAAACTAACGCATCAGCAGGTCACATTCATTAAAATTATAAATCAAAAACAAAAACAAATTATACATAACAATAAAATCGAAATTAAATTAATAAATACAGTAAAATTTATTGAATTTAGTCCATTGTCAATAGGTTTCAGTCTATAATAACGATTTATTGGAATATAATGCGATTCAACTAAGAATAGGACCGACTGGGCGCCATATTGTGACGTCATAGCTGTCAATTCCAACCAAATAGGTAGAGTGAGCAAAAAAAAATTTATCTAATAAAACTAATTTGCTAAAATTAAGTGAGAAAAAAGGTCAGATATTTTAAATAAAATTAATTTACTACGTTTGAGAAAAAACAAACCGATCCAAGATTTTTTTGCAAACCGTACTTTTCAAGCGATATTCGACAGATGGAGGTAATGGGCTTTCCTACTCTTATTTGAATCGCATAGTACATTATTGGCTTTGCTATTATTTTATTTTTAAATGGGTGATTTTCTTAAAAAGTTGTGTAATGATTGTTCACCCAAAAGGACAAGTTAGAATGAACTGACTGTATCTACCCAACGGCAGTTCGAAACGTTGGAGTGACAGTCGATTTGACAGTAATTAGTTAACATATTGCTAGTAATCATATAAAAAAAAAATATTATGATTTGGCTGTTGCTTCGCATGTCAACTCTGTTCTATGATATAGTCACTCAGTATATACATATTAAAGGTTACATCCAACAATATTAAATACCCTAGATACACCAACACGAATAAAATTATGCCCGAAACCTGTCCACAAGGTACATTGGACGATCCACGGAGCTCCGTAAGGTGATCGCGTAGTCTAAACAATATAAGGCATTATTTAAACATTGAAAATCACCTTTAAAGCATACTGTATAAGGTCTTAATTAAAACGCACGCGTTATAGAGTTACGACAGTCCCGATATGCAAGCTCGTAAAATTTTACGACTTATTGCTATATGCAGAAGAATAAAGACCTTATTTCTTTGACTCTACGCGCAATTCTGAATGCGCTGTTAGTAATATAGCAGGTATGGACCGCGAGGAAAAGAGACGGCTATATTATCGACCATGCATTTTAATATCACAAATATTTCCCATTAAATCAGTTTATAGTAAGTACTAAAACAAAATTTACTTTAAATGCGTTAAATTAACAAACATTGATTAGATACCTGTCGAGAAATCGACATTTTACATTTTATAAGTATTTTTTCGTCTGTTTTCACGGAGCTCAGCGGCATGTTGACTTGTCAACAGTCCGCGCGTGACTGTGAATCAAGAAGTGCTTGAGTCGTGTTCAAGCACTTCTTGATTGGGACACATTTTGAGCGCACGTGGTGTATCTAGGGTATTTAATATCGTTGGTTACATCTTTGTTTCTTGTGTGATACGATGAAGATAATTTTGTACTGAATGTTTGTCACGGGAGGAAATATCCTAAGAAAATGCGAAATTGATGGCTTTGTAAATAATTGGCAACATCTTTTATCAAATGTAGCAAGGTAAAGACGTCGTAGGTGATCTCATATTTTTCAAGATTGTAACTTTATCAAAGTTCCTGAGCCCTTTTTCATAGAAATTATTATTATTAAATATTCTGCCTTTCTGAATTATATATTACTAAGTAAACATTTTGTACATTGCTAGGGCAGTCTCTCATACAAAATTTTACCATGTCCTTTCATTTTAGGTTTTTTTAGAACCATCCCAGAATCGACACCATAATTTCAATTTGACCACTCAATCTCGCACGCTGGTTATTGCAATATATTGCCCATTTCTAAGTAGTTTTTTTATGGTCACACAGGTGGTGCATTAAACTCGGGCTCTTCTGGCCCCGCCCCCCTCATATTGGATCGGGAAGGCCGTACCATAGACAATACGGGGAAAAGAGTGCAGCTGACACATGTCGCTCCAACGCTTAAGGTAATTTATCTTCGCCAGCCTATTAATATCCCCACTGCTGGGGCACAGGCTTCCCTATAGATGGCACAGGGAGAAGGATGTTCCTTAGGAATAATGAAATGAAATGATACTTTATTCAAACTGACTTTTTAAAAATCTTTTAGTTGATGAGAAAAATGGCGCAAGGATCTCATCAGCATCATCATCATCATCATCAGCCTATTAATGTCCCCACTGCTGGGGCACAGGCCTTCCCTATAGATGGAATAGGGAGATTGGCCCATGACCCACCACGCGGGCCCAGTGCGGATTGGTGGGTGCTAACGACTGCAGATGCAGCCGGGACCAACGGCTTAACGTGCCTTCCGAAGCACGGAGGGGCACGAGATAGTAAATTTTTGGTCACCCATCCAATGACCGACCACTGTTGCTTAACTTCAACGATCGCAGCCGAACGCGCTAACCACTTGCGCCATCGAGCTCCTCATTATGCGATAAATTTTAATATATATAAATTACTCGTCACGTTGTCTGTCCGGGATGGACTCCTTAACTGCTTAATCGATTTTAATCAAATTTGCACACCGTGTGCAGTTTGATCCAACTTGAAAAATAGGATAGCTTACATCTTAAACTAAACTTAGATTAAAACGAAAAGGGTACATACGGTACGCTCATACTAGCATCAAGTAAAATATGCCCCGACGCGACTACATAAGCAACTCTCACAAACGCACATTTCGGTAAGTAAACATTCAATCGAGCGAGCGAGACAGAACCTATACCCTTATTTAATCGTTAGTCGAACTAGCTACCAATGCCTCTAAGATTCCGTTAAATAAAAGCAATTAACTTCTTCTAGGCTTGTTGAAAATATATCGATGTATCGATATATCGATATTTTTTGTTCGATATATCGATATTTTTTGCCGATATATCGATATTTTTTGCCGATATATTTTGATTCGATTTATCGATACATCGATACAAAATAACCAATATCGAAATTCTAATCAAAAACGATATATTTTTAATTATTAGCGGCATATCACGATCTAACTAAATTCGTATCTGGAAAAATCGTAACTGGATCTCAGATTAATGATTGTTCAAAAGTGGCCATTCCCCCGTACTTTCCCACCAAAAAACTTCTCGCCTGTGATTGGTCGTTTATTAATGCCGCGGGAAAATAAAGCGTTCTGATTAGCCAACGACAAATACCCGTTGACCAATAGCGTTCGAGCTAGATTACGCGGCAAGGCATTGAGTTGTCATCATAGAAAATTAAAATGTTGCCAATTTAAAAATAAATTCATACCGATTTTCTACGAATATCACTAACCTTAACACTAAGCACGAACCAGTATCGAATTCGTAACGTTTGCGAGTCCGAAATGTCATTGTCAAATGTATACTGATTTTTAGTTCTCGTTCCGTACTTTGTGGCGCTGCTGTTCAAGTTTCATACAGAAATTGACATGACATTTCGTATATTTGTTTCTAAGGTTTTCACGCACATCACTCATTAAATAAAACTAGTTTTAACGGGTTAATGCACGAAACTTTATTTATTTATTGACGTTTCGCAGCCTTTTCAGGTCTGCATCGTCAGAATACTCAGTTATACAGTATTCTCAAACCAAAACGTCAATAAATAAATAAAGTTTCGTGCATTAACCCGTTAAAACTAGTTTTATTTATTGACATTTCGGTTTGCTAATTATTTGAATTCGATAATGGTTCGTGCTAAGGGTAATGTTCTGTCTCGCTCGCTCGATTGAATGTTTATATACAGACGTGTGCGTTTGTGAGACTTGCTTATGTAGTTGAGACGGATCATATTTTATTTGATGCTTGTATGAGACAAGGGCGGGTCCCCCCCCCCCCCACCCTGGGCTGGGTCCATCTGTACCCATATATTGTTATAAACTTTCATGGTCACTAACATTGTAGCTCATAAAAAACAAGGTACATGGTAACAATCCCGTTAGTTACCATGTACCTTGTTTTTTATGAGTCTCTGATATTTCGGTACTGGTACATGGTAACAATCCCGTTAATAGCTTTAACATCTGTACCCACTTCACAATCTGTCCCACTGTGACTAAACCACGACTATATGACCCCGCCTGGCGCCAAAGCTGAATCCGCTTTTGGTATGAGCGGACCGTATCTTTCTTCCTTTTTAATGTAAGGCTATGCAACGAGTTTTATCGACTCGGTTTTATAATAGGGGTGATGACGGGGTACAGTAAACGAAATTCTATTTAGTCCGTCATTTAGATGATCAAAAAATAATGGACACGTATTTTTACTTTGGGCAATCAACCAAAAAATGACAAAGTTATAGCGCGTCGAAGTTTGGGAGTGGGGGCTCGTGACGTCACTTTTGAGTGATTTTTCTCTTATAAGTGTACTCAAACGTGACGTCATGCGACTTTTCAAATCAATATGTCTCTGCAATGTTTATATTATGTGAAAAAAGAAAAAATACGTGTCCAATACTTTTTGATAATCTACCTGATGAACGAAGAAAGAAAAAATAGTCACCATCCTTGTTTTGGACGTTGACTCTCGTGTTCTCATCTCCTATCTCACCGAACAGGCGAACATTCGCGCGAAACGCCGCGAAGAGTTCCGCGCCACTCTCGCCGCTCCCACGCCCGACACGCGGGAACTGGCCGGCGCGTGGGTCGACGCGCGCGTGCACGCTAAACCGGCCGCCAGGCTCAAGAGGCAGCTGCGGTTCCACGAGCCGGGGAAGTTCAGGCAGCTGGCCGAGAGGTTGCGGATGAAGGTGAGTCCATTAGTGAAACTTTCTAGCGCTTCAGTGCATGGCCAAATAGTGACAAAAACTTGGCCTAATAGTGACACAAACTTGGCCAAATAGTGACTTATTCCCAAATAGTGACTCATTCCCAAATAGTGACACATTCCCAAATAGTGACACAATACCAAATAGTGACACAATACCAAATAGTGACACAATACCAAATAGTGACACAATACCAAATAGTGACACAATACCAAATAGTGACACATTCCCAAATAGTGACACATTCCCAAATAGTGACACATTCCCAAATATTGACACATTCTCAAATAGTGACACTTTCCTATCCCCGGAACACTACCAAATTGTGACACATTCCAAATAGTGACACTTACAGAAAATTACACTTAAATAGTGAATACCCAAGTATTGACACATCACCCACCGTATAATGACACCACTAAGTAAGAAACACAACACATTGGGCGACTCTCCCTTTACGCGGGAATTATGAGGCGCGTGGGTCGACGCGCGCGTGCACGCTAAACCGGCCGCCAGATTGAAGAGACAGCTGCGGGTCCACGAGCCGGGGAAGTTCAGGCAGCTGGCCGAGAGGTTGCGGATGAAGGTGAGGCATTAGTACAAGTTTCAGAGGCCCCACTTCTATATGGGGACACCAAATAGTGACATATTCGTGGCCAAATAGTGACTTGAATATCAAAATAGTGACTAGAATATCAAAATAGTAACAAATGTTCCAAATAGTGACAAATATGTGGCCAAATCTTGTCAAATACGTGACCAAATAGAGACACAAAAGTGCCTAAATATGACATGCTTCGCCAAATACTGACAGTCAAGATCAAGTACTGACGTATGCATGGCCAAATACTGTTGTAAATGTGGCCGAGTTATGACGTGCTAGGCCAAATAATAACAAATGTGTGGCCAAATATTAATAGATACGTAACAAAGTAGTACCAAAAAGCAACTGGTGACCACTCCAAATACTACTCATCCGAGTAAGAGCATAATACTATCATCACTTAAGTAGTAGGAGTATAGGTAAGGGGATTTACCTAAAATTGCGACAATGCCCCAAATAGTGCCAATCCCAAATAGTTACACTTTCCTTAATAGTGGTACATTCCCAAATAGTGACACTTCCAGAAAATTACACTTAAATAGTGACACCCAAGTATTGACACATCACCCACCGTATAATTACACCCCTAAGAAAGGATCACATGACACATTGGGCGACTCTCCCTCTACGCGAAAGTTGAGAGACGCGTGAATCGACGCTCGCTTGCTTAGGGGTCATCCATAAATTACGTCACACGAATTTCATGTCTTTTTTGCCCCTCCCCCCGTCCTTGTCACAGCTGGTCACATTTGTAAGACTCGCCCCCTCCCTAGTGTGACGTCACATATTTTGCAAATTTACATTTAGAAATCATTGAATGAAAACAGCGTTTCTGTAATCAGTTTAATTTCCATTTAAATTGTTTTTTCATTATTATTATAATCAAATCAAACAATTAACAAAACAAAAAAAACGATTAATTATATTTATTAAAGAAATTACCGAACAAAAAGTGATTGACTATGTTAATTAAAGAAATTAACAAAACATAAAATATTAATAGCATTATAATTAAATTAAAGATACAAACTTAATAATCTTGAGTCCATGGACATTGATCCCACTCCTTTAAATTATTTATAACTGGCATAGCACCACTTTGTTCTCGTTTGGGTTGTTAATGCTTTCGTAAAGTAATAGTTTCAACACTTAGATTTTAATATATTTTGAAATGTGACGTCACGAAATTTAGGACCCCTCCCACCCCTTGTCACACGATGTCACATTTCGTCGACCCCCTCCCTACCCCTTAAAGTGTGACGTAGTTTATGGATGGCCCCTTACCAAACTGGCCGAGTGGGTCATTAGGCAGCTGTGGTTCCATGAACTGGGAAAATTAAGGCTTAAATTTAGCTGGCTGAGAGGTTGCGGATAAAGGTGAGGGATTAATACAAGTTTCTAGCGTTTCAGTTGCGGAGTATAGTGTGGGGAGACACCAAATAGTGAAACAAGCGTGGCCAAATAGTGACACAAATGGCGAAGTAGGGACAAATACGTGGCCATATAGTGTCAAGCACGGCCATTTATTTGACACATGGGTGGCCAAAAGTGGCGTGTGCGTGGCCAAATAGAACACAACCATGGCCAAATTATGACACATGCATGGCCTAATAATCACAGGCGTGGCTAAATAGTGACAGATGCGTGGCCAAATAGTACCAATAACCAACTAAAGACTACGCCAAATAGTAACACTAATCCGAGTAAGAACATAATGATGACTAACTAGTAGGAGTATAGAGGTGAGGGAGAGACACAAAAGAAAGACTATTCGTGAAATAGTGACAATGCCACAAATAGTGTCACTTCCAAATAGTGACACTTTTCGAAATCGTGTCGCTTTCCAAATGACGACACTTCCCAAATACAGGGAATTTTCCAAATAGTGACACTCTTAAATATACACACTTCCAAATAGTGACATATTGCCAAATAGTGACGCTTCCAAACCGACACCTCCCAGTACTCACACTTCCAAATAGTGACACTAAATAATAACACATTCAAATAGTACCACTTGCGAATACTTAATTTCCTATTATCAGACACTTCCCTAAAGCGACCCTACATCAACCAAGACCTTGACGACCTTCGTGGCCTAGTGTTTTGTACGCCGGGTTTCATGGTGTCGCCGACTCGAGAGGTCCCGGGTTCGAATCCCGATGGGGGCAGATGTTTGTGTGATGAATACGAGCATTTGTACTCCAGTCATGGATGTTTAATATGTATTTCTATATAAATATACTTATATATGTACTGTATATGTATTCTATCCATTACCCTAGCCATAACACAAGCCTTACAGTGCCTACTTTGGGGCTAGGCTAATTGGTGTGAGTGTTGGAAATATTTATTTATTTATTACCTTTCGTTCCCAAATAAACTTATTTATTAAATATTTCCAATGTCCAGGCTCAATTGGAGAAGTTGCAGAACGAAATATCTCAGATAGCGCGGAAGACTGGCATATCGTCCGCCACCAAACTGGCACTGTTGGCATCCGACGCGCCAGACTCGGACCGAGTGCCAGATATAGAATGGTGAGTATTCAATAAACCATCATAATCAGCCTATTAATGTCCCCACTGCAGGGGCACAGGTTTCCCTATGGATGGAATAGGGAGCTTGTGCCACGACCCACCACGCGGGCCCAGTGCGTATTGGCGGATGCTAACGACTGCAGATGCAGCCGGGACCAACAGCTTAACGTGCCTTCCGAAGCACGGAGGAACTCGCGATAGAAGATTTTTGGTCACCCATCCAATGACCGACCACTGCGAAAGTTGCTTAACTTCACCGATCGCAGCTGAACGCGCTAACCACTTGCGCCATCGAGCTCCTCTAATAAACCATAGACTTTTTTATTTATTTATTGCACAACACAGAGTTACAGCAATCAAAATGGTAGAAGACACTAAGAAAAATAATTGATAAAGAAATACCACCAATACTAGCATGTGCAAACAGCATGCTTATATAAGTATACATCTAACGTCACATGCCTCTAAGACGCCACATTGTTAAAAGTTAGGTTATCACTTTACATTAATAAATAACGTATGAAAGTTTATGATTTTATTTATTTTTTAAGCATTTAACTGCTAGATGTTTAAATCTAAAGAAAAGTTTACTAGAAAAAAATCCACGCGGACCAGCCAGCGGACGGGACTCGAACCCACATCCTTCGCTATCCGGACGAATGCACTGATCAATGCGAAGAGATGGCGCTGCCTTGCAGCTTAAGGCTAGGAAAATTTCGACGCGGCTAATAGGGTCGTGGTAGCATAATGGTCAGTGCATTCGCCCGGATAGCGAAGGATGCGGGTTCGAGTCCCGTCCGCTGCCTGGTCCGCGTGGATTTTTTTCTAGTAAACTTTTCTTTAGGTATGAAAGTTTTTCAAACCATGTCAAATAACCTATTTACATCATACAGAATAGACTGTGTTATAGTAATGTGATATTAGGGGTCATCCATAAGTACGTCACACTAATTTCGTGATTATTGAGCACCCCCCCCCCCTTGTGTGACGTCACATCACATATTTCTAGAAGTTATTAAATTAAAACAGCAGTTTCGAAATTAGTTCCTTAAGCTAGCCAACAAAAATTCAAACCCTTACACATGGGAGTTGTAAATATTTAAATTGTTAAAAATAATTATAATTTGCAACTTATTTATGAGATAATTAAACTTATTTAAGTTTAAATAATTTGGAATGCGAATGACGGTCGCATCACAATACATACATATACGAAAATTTATTACTTGTAAGAAAAAATATTAATTTGTTTCTTAAAAACAGTGATGTTCACACACTTAATACAAGAAACAAAAATAAACTAACTTTACCTGCTACTAGGCTTCACAAAATCAATAATTCATTTAAAGGTCTTTGTGTTCGCTTATAGAATAAAGTCCCAAGCAATATCCAAGAGTTAACCATAAATAAATTTAAAGACACTATAAAAAAAGCACTTATTAAAAAAGCTTATTACAAAGTGTCTGATTATATTGCAGATAAAAATGCTTGGGTTTGAACTGTTCCAATCATCCCAACAGGTTTTCTATATTAAATAAATCATAATTGTATGGACGTTGTAACAACATAATGATTTGTAAATGTTGTTACATTAGACTTTTAATGTTGTGGAGTTTTTTCGCTCGTTTTTCTCCGCAGCTAAAAAATATGTCCATAACGAGTGGTAGGGGAAAAAATTTTTGGACGATTCAAAAGTGTTGTACTATACATCCAATTTGAATAAAGATATATTGATTTCTGATTTCTGTGACGTCACGAAACTTAGGGCCCTTCCCACTCCTGTCACACTTCGTCGACCCCCTCCCCCTTAATGTGTGATGACCATAGAGGTATAAGAATAGAGTAGGAGAGATATAGACTACTACAACAAGCGGAAGTGTCCCTCTAATAGAAAGAGAAAGAAGATGAGAGACCTCTAGCTTTCTCTCGAATCGCGCATGCGCATTGGCAACCGGAAGCATCTTACTATTTCGATGTAATGCCATTGGATGTCATGCGTCACAAGAGAGATAGCTGGCGGTCTCTCATCTTCTTTCTCTTTCTACTAGACGGACACTTTCAGAGCCGCCTTCCCCACTCTATTCTTATGCCTCTACTAGCGGCCCGCCCTCGCTTCGCTTCGGTGTTCGCTACAGTTTTTGTTCTCAGGCTTGTATTATACACAATGACATTCATCTATGATTCTTCTTATACCTGCATGCAAAGTCTCAGCCCGATCGGTTTAAAATTGACAAAGTTTCATACAAACTTTCATTCCCTATTTTATCCCTTTGGGGGTAGAATTGATCAAAATCCTTTCTTAGCGGATGCCTACGTCATAACATCTACCTGCATGCCAAATTTCAGTCCGATCCGTCCAGTGGTGTGGGCTGTGCGTTGATAGATCCCTTAGTAGTGAAAACAATTTCATCTCATTCAAAATTTTCCAACCAGGTGGGACAGCGTAATCCTAATGACGCCGGAAGAGCGAGAGGCGAAACGTCGACAGTCGAGTGCGAGCGGGACGGACGATCGTACTCCCGCGCAGCGAGTGCTGGCCTGCAACACCGGTGACGACGACATCGTCGACAACCTCAACCTCGCCGCCGTCACTAATCTGGTGGAACATCCGCAGCAACTGAGGCCGCCCAGTCAGTATATATACTAATCATTGTAATATATTAACTAGACTTGCAACGAATATTGCTCCAAACAAGACTGCGTTTAAGACTTTGGCACGGGAACATTTCTTTAATCTCTTGGAAAGCGTTTGAGTTCAGTCAGATTACTATAATCGGACACTGTTTAAATATGTATATGTTTTATGTATGAATTTTTGTTTATGTGTAATATATTATTAGATATAGAGGATATATATTTAAGTATGTGTATATATAATTATGTTTATGTTTTAATTTTGTTTTTCGCATTGTTTGATGTTAACTTTCTTTTTTTTATTCTTTGCCGTTATATTCGCTCTGCACTTTCTTTCCGGTTGACTGGTAGAGAATGCCATATTGGCATTAAGTCCGCCATTTGCATATAAGGCAATAAAGATTAAATAAATAAATAAAAAAAAAAAAACGGTTACTATTCGGTATTCGGCCTATTCGGCTGCTTTTATTATATTCGGCCGAATACCGAATACTTAAATAATATATTTTGTCATAGAGAAATACTTGGAAAAATTAAAATCGATTGATTACGTATATATTCATATTTTCATTTGTGTCATATAATCATTTAAGTAATCATTGGTACATAACACAGGTACATAATCATCTTCTGAATTATAAGAATGGAGGATTCTATGTATTTGATTATTGTGGTAATCTAAAAGTAGTCATCGGTACATAAAACAGGTACATAATTTAATCATTTTCTGTATTAAACAAGTTAACTGTTTTTAATTCATTCAGTCATGTGATGAATGGTTACATAATAGCACTAATTTTAAGATTAGAACAAAACAAAGGAGCGAGAAACAATCACGTCTGTACAAGTTCTTGGCGCTAAAATCCAGCCGAATACTTTTGCCTAATATTCGGCTATTCGGTCAGGGACCTCGCCGAATATTCGGTATACTGCCGAATATACTATTCGTTGCAAGTCTAATATTAACCAAATACTGTCATTTTACCAAATAGTGATATTTTATCAAATAGTGACATTTTACCAAATAGTGACATACACCAAAATGTGCCAACACCGCATAGTGACACTTCCCAATCGTGACGCTTTACCAAATAATGATATATACCAAATAGTAATACATCACCAAATTGTGCCAAATAGTGCCCGATCGTACTAAATAGTGACACATTTTCAAATAGTGACACTTAAGTAAATAGTGACAATAGTAAATACTGACTACCAAATAGTGACACTACGTCAAATACTGCCCTTCACGAAATAGTGACACGATCGAATATTGAAACGACTGAATGTGTCGAACAACCGTGTGATATGAATCCCGCTGGTAAGGTCTGATAGTACCCCAACGCAGCGTGTTAATAAAGTTTTTTTATAGTAAAGTAAAAGTAAGCAAATAACTCGACCTCAATTTGTCTTACTCATATCATAGAGGGGAGTAATTTCTTTTTTAATCGGTTCGCTATAATCGCTATAAAGTTGTATATTATATTTTTTTAAGTATGTAACTGCTTGATGTTTAAATCTTAAAAAAAAATATTACTAGAAAAAAATCCACGCGGACCAGGCAGCAGACGGGACTCGAACCCGCACCCTTTAATTGCGTTAACATAAAAAATGAAATATTAACAATCAGAGAAGGTATTCATTAAATTCAATAAAATTTTGAAAAAGAGATAATCAAATAATAATAATAACAGCAACAAAAAAACAGTAATGTTAAATAGATAGGTAATGTCAAATAGTACTTAATAGAAACAAAGTCAAATCACCCATTGTAAAAGTATTATTAATTAATGTTATAATAAAATAGTTAATTATTTCAAATCAATAAAACAATTAATGTCAAATCTAATGGCAACTAAGAACAGATAATGTCAAATATACTAATTTAATAAATAATGTCATACTATTTTAGTTATAAATAATTGAATAGGGGTGATGACGGGGTACAGAGTAAACGATATTCTATTTAGTCCGTCAGTTAGATGATCAAAAAATAATGGACACGTATTTTTTCTTTGGGCAATCAACCAAAAAATGACAAAGTTATAGCGCGTCGAAGTTTGGGAGTAGGGGCTCGTGACGTCACTTTTGAGTGAAAGTTGTACTTGTTTAATTGTAAAACTTGACGTCATGCCAATTTTCAAATCAATATATCTCTGCAATGTTTATAATATTATGTGAAAAAAGAAAAAATACGTGTCCAAAACTTTATGATAATCTACCTTATAAACGAAGAAAAAAAAATTAGTCATCATCACTACAAATTCAGAAATAATCAGTGAGCTATTTTCTCAAGAAACTCAAGTGCAGCCGCCATTAGCTTTGTCAAAGCGAATAAGTCGATATTGGTGTCGATTCTGGCATGATTGTCTAATCTTAAAACTAAATTTAACATCAGTGATATCGATTCTGGCATGATTCTCTAAATCTAAACTTAAATTTGACAACAAGTGTAACCTTGTCATCCGTTATACAGAACGAAAAGGAGAGACTGGTGTTAAATTTAGTTTTAAGTTTAGAGAATCACGCCAGAATCGACACCAGTATCTCCTTTTCATTCTATATAGAGAATGACAAGGATACACTGTTGTCAAATTTAAGTTTAGATTTAGAGAATCATGCCAGAATCGACACTATTGTCACATTGAGCGAGCATGTCCCCTACTAGTATCTATCTACCTATCTACTACTGAGAGGTTACCGGGTAATTTTAAAGTTAACCATGTACACTTATGTAGCTGCATTCGATTCCCAATGTACAAAGTTTTAAAACAGTTTAAGTTCAACCGAATAACAACCATGTCACAAGGGAATAAAGTTACAAATAACAAAATGTCTTTTCGTACATTCGATCTTTTACCGACCGACCCATTGGCTGTGTATTAACCGAACTAATCTATACTAATATTATAAAGCTGCCGAGTTTGTTTGTTTGTTGGAACGCGCTAATCTCTGGAACTACTGGTCCGATTTGAATGATTCTTTCAATGTTGGGTAGTCCATTTATCGAGGAAGGCTATAGGCTATATTTTTTTTTTTCAAAATTAGGGATCCGTAATAAAATTTCTATTTTGTAACACAAGGTGTAAAATCGAATACCTATTTTTGCGTGCGCTGCAAAAACTATTGACAATAGAACAAAATTATGTAGTACGGGTTTGTAGATCCCATTAAGACCTACAAAAAAGTCCGCGAGAACATATATCTAGCTATCATGGTTTAATCACATTAACCGATTTTGTGTTCAAAATAATTATTAAATATGTATCGTAATGTTAAAAACACAAACAACCCTTAATTTTCACCCCTCTACCACTCCTATTTTATGGCGATACGAAGTTCGCTAGGTCAGCTAGTTGAAAATAAGATGTCAGGCCTCAAGTGATAGGCTATATTTACCGAGACGGATTTTACGCGGTGACGCGTCATCTATACTAATATTATAAAGAGGAAAGGTTTGTAGGTAAGTATGTTTGTAACGAATTGGCTCAAAAAGTACTGGACCGATTTTAAAAATTCTTTTACCATTTGAATGCTACATTATCACTGATTAATATAGGCTATAGTGTATTTTCAAAAAAGTTAGGGTACGGTATGAAAACTTCGATAATAAAACCTAACATGTGTAAAAAATACCAAAAAATAGCCTTATATCGCGTACGCGTAAGTCATTGTCAATAGAGCAAAGTGATATACTAAAGTTTTATAGAGGACTAGCGGCCCGCCCTCGCTTCGCTTCGGTGTAGAGCTGAAGTGTATACTACAGATTTTGTTCTCAGGCTTGTATTATACACAATGCCATTCATCTATGATTCTTCTTATACCTGCATGCAAAGTCTCAGCCCAATCGGTTTAAAATTGACAAAGTTTCATACAAACTTTCATTCCCTATTTTATCCCCTTGGGGGTAGAATTGATCAAAATCCTTTCTTAGCGGATGCCTACGTCATAACATCTACCTGCATGCCAAATTTCAGCCCGATCCGTCCAGTGGTTTGGGCTGAGCGTTGATAGATCACTATGTCAGTCAGTCACCTTTGAGTTTTATATATATAGATACCAATATCTACAAAAAAGTTCGCGATACCATATGTCTAACTGTTACAGTAATGTAATAACTAGAGGTCCCCTGCTGTTTCACCCGCGTTAATTTGAAGAAAAATGTTTATAGTGAGTCAAACTTAAAATATAGACATAGGCTGTCGCGGGCTTTTTTACAGAACTTTTAAAGGGAAAGAATTCCATCATACATGATTTTTGTGTAACTTTAACCGTTTACCCAGTGCACGGAACGGCACCATGGAATATTTTTTCCCCCGTTTTTGCAACATTTTTCATCGATGCTCCGCTGCTACTGGTCAATAGCCTGGTAATATATAGCCTATAGCCTTCCTCGATAAATGCACCGTCCAATACAAAAAGATTTTTTCAAATCAGAACTACAGAGCAATTTTGCATTCGGTACAACGGGTCCTAAACTACGCAACGAATTTCTTACTTGGAATGGAAGGTTTATAATTATTATGAAGAAGGTCATTGTGTATAATACAAGCCTTTGAACAAAAAACTATAGTCTACACTACAGCTCTACACCGAAGCAAAGCGAGGGCGGGCACTAGTTTATAGTATTGTTGTTCGAAGAACACAAGCCTTACACTGAGGTGCCGCGGGTTGTTAAATATGAGATATGCTATTGAAAAAAAAGTATTTCTCAGTGCACTTAAAACATGCATTTTGAACATTATAACAAAATAATACGGTATTTTACCAAAAAAATAAAATAAAGAATATAATAAAAAGCGAGCGAGCCTTACAGTAGTCGCGTATGATGTGTAACATTTGAAACCTCACCTTATATTAGTAAAAAAAGAAATAAAACCTACTACAAAAGGAATAAGCCATTTGAACATTATGTTCTAAAATCAAATAGCGCGTGCTTTCGCGATTTCCTGTTACACACTTCCGTCCCATTTCACGAAATCACTCCCACAAA